GACTCCATGTGCATGTTTTTGTCATGCAAAGTTCAAGCACCCTTAAAATTATGGGCTAAAAAGTCTGCTTGGTTCAGACCAAGCAGACCTTGGTTTCTCTGCTCTGGCCCAGAATGAAATTCTGAATGCTTTATTAGCATAAAAAAAAGCATTCTTCCAGTGGATTCACGCTTGATCTGCTTGCATCCTTTTTGCTCTGGTCTGGATCAGTGTAAAACTTGTCTCTCTCTTGTCCACCAACTTTATCTGATCAGGGCTATAGTACACACAACACTCGATAAGAAAGAATACAGAGTTAGGCTGAGTCAGCAGGTCGTTTCACAGGTTGTGATGGTTGTAGAATCTTATCACATGGTACATGTTTCCATAAAACATCAATGTCAGTATGTGGCCAATTCACCTGGAAACATGACTGCAGCATTTGATTGTTGAGTAGTCGTTTGGACACCCCTGTTGGCATGACGTGTTGATGTTGACTGGACTAGAGCCGCTGCTCCTCCACATCAAGAGGAGCCAGTTGAAGTGGCTCGGGCATGTGTTTGGGATTCCTCCAGGACGCCTCCCTGGGGAAGAAGACCAGGAGAAGACCCAGTACATGTTGGAGGGACTATTCAATTCAACTTGTTTTAGAATAGCCCAAATCACCGGTTTTCTCTGAGGACTTTTCAAAGTTGTTGATTTGCCGCCACAGATCAAAGAATTAAACAGTGGCAGCCCACGAGTTCGGCCCATGGGAGACAGTCCACAAGTGCAGATGAATGAGGCTGGATTCAGGGGTCCCATCATCACACCACAAAACAGAAAATGGAACAACGGGTGAATCGCAATGAACAGACTTCAAGTTTCCGTACTTCACAAGTTACCGTACTTCTCCGAGAAAAGTGTCCACATCTGCAGCTTGACTGACCAGCTACTATAAGTGTTTTTTGACTTAAGTTCGTATTTTTAATTCTTACCTGAGTCTTACCCAATGATGCGTCTCTGGGAACAGCTCAGGATTCTACCAGATGAGTCGGAGGAAGTGTGTGTGGAGAGGAGAGTCTGTGTGCCTCTGTTTAGGCTGAAGAACACGGATGACTGTTGACTGGTCTCTTCGGTGAAAGATTAGCCGTCTGCATGTTCTGGTGCAGGTTGGGGTCATCTGTCTGCTCTTGTGTTTCCGATGAGTGTGAGACAAAGTGACAGAGCAGCGGGGCACAGAGCAGACCACAGCTGGAGTCTTCCGCTGTGTACGAGACGCTGCCTTTGGTCTGGCTCAGTCATTACTGTAAGTCAATCAGGGCAGATTCAATACAAATCCATGGGAGATGGAGGGACTATGCATTTCACAAAGGTACAAAACAACAAATGTTAAAGGTGCACTGTGTAACTTTTTGGTAGGGGGAACCAAGAGGAAATGTATCCGTGCAAGTGTTTTTTGTAAAGCCCTAAATCACAACAGCAGTCGTCGGTTCAATTCCACCTCCGAGCCGATCTATGTGGAGTTTGTTGTTCTCCCTGTGTCATGCATAGATTTCCTCTGGGTGCTTCGGGTTCCCTTACCACTAAAAACATGTACAATAAGTGTGAATGTAATAAGTGATTGAACGGATGGCGATGGTCGGAGGCTTCGATGCTTCTGTCATAACCGTGTGTGGTGTGAATGGGAGTTATGGGTACACCAAAATTGTAAAGCGTTTTGTGTGACCTTGGTTTTTGAAATGCGGCATTTAAATAAAGATTATTTACTTAATTGCTATGTGCAGAGATAGGAGAACATAAAAAAATGAAAACCAGTGAGTCGAAGCTGTTTCATATATAAACGTGATTTGTTTATTCATCAACAGTCAGACCACAAAGCATTGTCTTCGTCCAGTTTGCATGAAAATCGCGGATCTGACGATGTGACAGAGGCCAAAAATACAGGCATGGTAATTTCTACTTAACCCTCCGTCTTAAAAATCTCTGACAGAGATAAAAGACGCACACATGTGAAAACAAGTGATGCACCAAACAATTTTGGTGGCTTTAACTTCCAGGGTAAAACCGACTAGAGCTGATGTCAGCAGAACCTCCTCCTCACGGGGAAGACCAACTGGACTAGAGGGTCAGAGCTGGCAGCAGAGGGACAGGAAGAAGCTGGACAAGGTCAGAAGTCCAGAAGTCCAGCTCGGTCCTGGGCTGTTCCCTGGACACAGTGCAGCAGGTGGGGGACAGGAGGGTCCTGGACAAACTAACATCTATGCTGGAACATGACTGTCACCCCTTGCAGGACACTCTGTCCGCTATAGAGAGCAGCTTCAGTGACAGACTGATCCACCCTCACTGTGTGAAGGAGAGGTTCTTTTTCTCGTGCTGTTCTCAGACTTTACAAAGAACAAAGAAGGACTAACGAACATTGCCAACCTGACCTCACATGTTTAACATCTGTGCCATAATTTGAAATAATGTCAGCCAGCATGTGCAGTATGAAACCGTGTTTGTCCACTGTCACTTCAGCCCATACCCTCATGCTGCAAACATGTACAGATGTACTGAATATACAGCATGTTATACTGGCTCCTTTATTATGCTAAAGTTTGAGTTTTTATATTATTTATTATTTTATGTTATTCTTCACTTATCTTTAAAAACATCAGGAACCTCTGCTTTAGAACTTTGAGATATACTTGCATAGCATGTTTGAAATTAAAATATTCTATTTTAATTAAACAGAACATTCATAAAAGCCAAATACTCCACTATTCCAGTGACTTGTAAGTGCTTTGTTAAAGGGAGCTCGCATTAGCTTGAAAGCAGGGCCCCAAAGCATGTAAAACAAACCTGACAATGCATACCTTTCTACATTCTAAATCCTAAAGCATTTTCTTAACATATTACCCATTCACTCATCCTTACAGTGTTGCATTCTTCAGTTCCTTCTCCGGTGACTTGTCTTACACATAGTAATGTAACCCCAAATCTGATAGCGTCATTATAACCTTGAATAATGCATACAATAGTATAGATGAGTCACGTTGTTGTGGCTTCCCTTAAGGAAAACAAATCTCAGTCTCTCCATCGACAACATGTCATTGTTGTTTTCAGAAGCTGATGTTAGACTTTTATTAAGCACTGGTTTTGCTCGCCAGCAGCATTAAATCATGATACAGCACATTTAGAAGACATTTTGGCTGAAAACCACTTTTGCAGATCGACAGACTGATGCTGGAGAGGATGGAAACGATTCCTTCACTGAGCCTTTTCAAAGTTGTCAAACTCTGCTCAGGTTAATGTAAAAGAGATTCTTTAACTTGAGAAGCTTCAAATACCTTCTTTACTATCGTTGTCACTCATCTTTGTATTGCATGTCAAGTTGGTCCAAACATTGTAGTATTTTAAATTAAATAAGGCTGAAACAGTTTTATGTCTGTCTTACTGCAATTATATCCTTGCCTGTCCAGAGACCTGAACATGACCATATTTAATTTTTTATAAAAATATTTATTGTGTATTCACTTGCACAATTATTTTGGGAGATGTGATTTGAAAATGGCAGAATCTTTCATCATTCACATGGTAAAATTATTGTGTTCTTATTTTTGTTCAATTAAGTTGAAATTGTTGTATTGTATTAATTCTCTTCATCATATACACTTCGATTGATTGAGGGTGCGCTACAACAATGTGATATGGTTTGGCGCCCTCTGCAGGTTATGACGAATAAGACAACATTTTAAATTTCAGCAAAATGCCCTCAGTCCTCGTTCTACAGCCTGAGTCCTGGATCTATAGCCTGTTTTTTGTAGTTGTTGAGCGGATCCTTGCCGATGCAGGAGGGTCTAAGGACAGTGATGATCAGGGACATTTATTAACTTTTATGGACAGTGGTCATCCCGTTTGATTCTCTGATCTGTTATAGCGAATCGACAACTTTACATTGTCCTCTGAGAAAACTGCTGTTGTGATTTAGGGCGACACACCAACACACCAATTGAACAAAACAATGTGATATTTCAGTTTATGTGTATTAATGTAATGTATGCACAAATATACATGTCAAATCATACATACATTGATAATACATACTGTAAATAGACACATGTTACAGACACATTGTGGACTTTCAAAAGGTTTATATACACAGAGAATTATTTATTATCATAACATATCATAGCCTTATCCTAGTCTAGTCTGTATTTTACTTACTTTATTTTATGTCAGCAAAAGAAATTCTAGTAAATTTCTTATTTACAGTCATGGAAGAATCAGGACCAATATTTACTCCAAACTCAGAAATATTGTCCCAAATGTTCTGAAAACATGAATAGAGATTTTACCTCTAAATCGCATTCTGGGTAAAACCAGCTTGCCTTAGCAACCGTCTTGGCAACACGTCTGTCCCTGTTTTGAAGCTAACACAGCAAAATAAATGCCCATGTAAGGACAATGGCTCCAGCTATCTTATATTCAAATCGGCCTCTTCCGCATTAACACTATGGTGACACTCGGTCACTCCACTCAATATAAGATATGGTATGTACTTTATTTGAACAGGGACAGTGTATAATAAAACATTAACGCAAGGGAGAGATGCACCAGGTTATAGCAAAGAGGCTAATTTCCACCTGTAGTCCCTGGGCAGGCTGATGTTACAGATTCATCTAAACTGGAAGGGGCCGTTGAAGGAATAAAATAATAATTTTATTATTTTTTAAATATAATTTGTACTATAATATGCAATTACGGTTGTTAAAAAGAATATTGATATATCAAAGGTAATAATCAATAGAATACTAGATTACTAAAATTACTGAACTACTAAAATATAGCTGCAGTCCAAAAACACAGTCCGTCTGTGAGAAACCCGTTCTCGAGTGGAGTCCTGACCACAGGGGAACAGCTGTTCTCTATGTCTTTAGTGGAAACCTTTGCAGACCAGGGAGAACATGCAAACTCCAGACCACATAGTTGAACCCAGTCCTCTGGCTGTTGGGTTGTGATTGATTCAGTCTCATATCTGCCTCCACAGTCCTCCCTCCTCACGCGGCCGGCCCCCCTGCCCTGTCCCGGAGCAGGAAGCTGAAGGCAAGTGGCTGCTCTCCCTCCACAGGCTGCTGGGAGAGGTCGTTGGTCTGAGGCAGCAGCTCCAGCGTGAGGCCCTCATGTGGACAGACTGAGTACTGCGACAGGAGCGTCACCAGGATCGACTTCATCATCACCATGGCGATGTGTTTGCCCACACAGTTGCGGGGACCTGAGCCGAACGGCTGGAAGTAACGGCGAGGGGTCTGAGGGAGAAAATGAAAAAAGGATTATGGATTATGTTTCTCCCTTACACATGATGATCATGAGTTAATTTACTTTAGTAAGTAAAACATATATGGATAAGCATGTATAAAGGATGACAGCTCTTGTGATGACGTCATAAGGTGAAAATTCATTACTGAGATGCAATCATTGAGACAGAAGGGGCGGGGGGCCTGAAGTTCATGATAGTGTGTATGGTTTTAAAAACAATTCCCAGACAAAGTCGTTTTTTAGAAGCTCAAAAAGACTATAATATGTATACACTAAAATATGTCTGTGTTGACGAGTTTGTTGAAAAAGGAGAACTTTCAAATAATCAGTGTTATATGACTTGGACCGTACGCGCGCTCTGATTGGCTGATTACCGGTCTGATATTTTCCCATCTCGGACCGTTACCATGACAATTGGTCCGAACAGCGCGTATCACATTTGATCTTTCCTCGAACCGTTACCATGACAATCTGTCCACAGCCCGAATCACACAAAACCAAGTCGGACATGTACATACTTCACAAATATCTCAAAAGCATTGGTAAAGACACAGACAAAGTCATATAATAAAACATTTATTAATTATTATTATTAATAAGCCGTTAATATCGAGTAGGCCAGTGTTTCCCAAAGTGAGGTCAAATGTAATAAATGAACAATAACTCTATACTAAATATAAAGAGATCCTTTATTTGTCCCACAGTGGAGAAATTTCGGTGTTGCATCACAAGTTATAGAAGAGTAGGAAAGAGGAGCACACAGCACACGTTAAGTGAACAATAGTTGTACTAATTAAAATAAAACAAAATCTCTAACTCTAGCATCAATAATAAGTATAAAATCTCTATCTTGAAAATAATAGAATAGCATAAAGTATAAAGTACTGTGTATTCTAGTGCAAGTAAAGTGTGGTTATATGTTAGCATCTGTACATTAGCAGCAGTATGTTTACATCTGTATATTGGCAGCTGTATATTGCACATTCTAGTATAAAATAACACAAAATAATATCTCTAGCTTTAGCATAATAGGGGGCAATCTATACTCTCCAACGTTAGCAGAAGGAAGAAACAAGAATTAAGGACAACATCTCTGACTTTAGCATAATAAAGAAGTATCTCTAATCTCCAAAATAAAGAAGCCCGTTTAAATAAAATAAAATACAGTAGTTTCTATTGCAAGAAAAGCATAGCTGTATGTTCTGTATACATCTGAACATGTTAGCAGCATTAGGGTATAGGACAAAGTGACTCAGTAAAGTGAGAGTGTAGAGATTTTTGGAGAGATTTAAGTATTTTAGAATTTCAAACTATTTGATTTAATATTTTTACATTTCACATGATGAAAAAGGCTGAACCATAAATATGGACTACACGCGGTTGGCTGTGATCTACTTACGTTCTGGTCAAAGTTTTCCAGGCTGAACTCATTGGGTTTGTGAAAGAACTCTGTGCGGTGCATGCGCCCCGTGTTGAGGATGATGTTTGTCCCTTTCGGCACGCTGTAGCCTTCAATGACATCATCACCCAGTGCCCGCCGCATGCTAAAGTCCACCACTGGGTGAAAGCGCAGGGACTCGTGTATGAAGCTCTCCATCACCTGCAGCTTTGGCAGGTCTGAGTTCTGCAGCCGCCTCTCGCCTGAACATAAGAGATAATTCAATAATAATTCTAGTAATTGTGTGAAGCCAAATATTGTCAAATAAACATGTTTTCTTTTTTCATATTCTAATGACAAAATAAACAGCTCTTCTGATTACAACATCCACAGCTTGGAGACATTTGTGGAAGTTGTGAAAGAGGTTCTTTATTCTCCCTGAAGTTAAAGCTGCTCATTCGTCTGGAAAAAATCCTCCAAAATCCTTTTGTGCTCAAAACTTTTGAGCACAACTATATGTAAACTTTAGGGGACACAAATAAAGCTGTCCTACCGATGACTGTGTCGATCTCCTGCAGCAGCTGCAGCTCCACTAGGGGGTGCTGTTTGAGGAGCATCAGCATGAACAGCAGACTGAGGGAGAGAGTGTCCGGAGCCGCGATCACCATCTCCAACACACACTGCCTCACGTCATCAGCCGACAGCTCTCCGTGAGTCTGCAGCAGGGAAAGCAAAACAACACCATTAAGGGACAGAGTAAAGGACATGGAAGAAAGTTTGTCATGTTTTACTACAACAAACAAGATATTACTACAGAAAAACACTTCCATAAATATAATAATAAATCCTTCTTTATAATCGGACTGTTGTGGTGCGGAGGGAGCAGCGCCTGCATTCAGAGCTTTATCGGAATGTTCTTGTGGAGAGGGAGCAGCGACTGCATTCAGAGCTGTGTCGGACACTGTTGCGGTGAGGAGGGACCAGCGTCAAACAGAAAAGCTCTCAAAACCGGAGCACCTGGAGAAAAAGTACGCAGACACATGGAGAAAATGCAAACCCGACTCAGAAAGGCCGTGTTCTGACAGGGATATGAACCCAGACCTTCTTGATGAGAAGCGAGAGTGCTATATCTACTCAGCCGCCCATATGTAAATTGTGAGGATTAAGTATTAAGAGATTAAAAACAAAATAATTAAACTTGAAATTAAGAAACCAAGCAAGAGTGAAGACATCCCAATTTGACCTGAGCGAAGATGAGGTCTGCAGTGAAGTTGATCTGGTCCAGTTTGTCGGCCTGCTCCATGTGTCTGCGCTTCTGCTGCACAAGCTCTTCTATGGCGTCCTGCAGCTCCTGACTGACCAAACACAACAAAATGTCCCTTTTTAGCACAAATAAGAGTAAATGAATTTTTGTTGGAATGACCCGATGGAGAGGAGGGGAGGGACTCACGCTGCCGACTTGTGTTTTTTGTGGATCCAGTTCAAACTGAAGTAAATGTTTGGTTTGATGAGCACAGTCTGCCAGGTCTCAAAATACTTATGGATCTTCTTCAGGAGCTCCTTCTCTGCTGGGACAAATGTATGAAGGGATAAACGTGTTAGCACTTTCACAGTCAATGTCTATCTTAGAATAGGCATTCATACAGTAGTAAGAATGTTTTATGCATTTAATTTCTTCTGTATAAAGATGTTAATAAAATCTCCCTCTAAATGTGTTGCTCTTGTTTTAAAAATATATTTCTGTGGGAGCCATACACGTTTTAAGTATGAGATTTTTTTGCTCTCACAGCTAAAAGGGTTCCTGACCTCTGCGATATATAAACAATATTCTAAGGTTCACCTGTATCAGTGTGTCTCCCTTATTTACAGTCATTTGCATATCTTAAAAACCACAACTTTTAAGATCATAAATTCTGACCCTAATGCGAAACCCTTTACCCCTGAACCCCTAACCCTGATGCTAACCCTAAAACATTCAAATACATTGTTTTAACCACAACATACATGCATGTAATAGCAAAACAGTTTACCATTGATGGGCACATCCAGGAACAGTCTGTTGGAGATGTCCACCACAGTCCCCCGGAGCAGACTGAGGATGTCGACCTGCCTCAGCGGAGCCTCGGGTCCGGGGGCCTTCAGTTCGTCCAGGTGCCTCTGAGTGGAGCATATACAGATGTCGACCGTGTGCTGCAGCCCAGGGCCAGTCAGGGCTGTCGGGACATCATTATATAAGACTAAGAACAAGACTGCAATGCTTAGGATGTTTGAGACAGATTCACAAACACAGCTGTCCGGAGAATTCCTCTTGCAAATTCCCAGAACAATGTTAAACTTTGGTACCTCACTATCAAATCATACAACATGTAAATAATCAAATCCATCTAACTCCTTCCTCACCCACAATATAAAAGGTTCAGTCCTGACTCTGGGAAGGAGGCCAGTCCCTGTGCTCCTCAGTGTCCCGGCAGGAGGCCAGTCCCTGTGCTCCTGTTCCGGCAGGAGGTCAGTCCCTGTGCTCCTCAGAGTCCAAGTTGGTTCATATGGCACTAACACGTCACTGATGTACTTTTGTGCGAGGCCATGGACAGAGTTGTAACAAGTAGAGCTACTTTAAAGTCTTTTCTCTGAGAGCTGGACTGATGTGATCTGTAATCTGCCCAAAGTCTTATTTTTTGGTCAATGACTTGGAATTCCAAAAGTGTCTCTTTAATTTACCTAAAATACATATACTTTTTCTTAATCTCATCTGAGGAAGATTTTTATTATCAACAGAGATTCAAATTATTTTAATCCTGACTTTGCGGATTCAATATCAGTTTTGATAGAATAAAAACCTAAACAATTCAAGGTTTTGTGATAGCAGCACCACTTGGTAACCAGACATGACATATACCACAGATTAGAAGAAAACCCATCATCAAATCAGAAAGTACGTTGATCAAACTTTGAAACCCCAAATGTGTTATAACTTCAGAAATAATATTATAAACAAATTCATTATCATACAGCTCTTCATAGTCGAAGTAGAATGCTCCATTTAAATGTAATTTCAAAACGTTGTACCGGTCATTATTTCTTGATAACAAACCTCTCAAACCAATAATGACTGCTGCCCATGGCAACGCACTTTCTGTGGGAGCAATACATATTTAGGCTAGCGGTATCTATTTCCAGAGGCGTCTGTTACTCCTTCTGTCTCTGTGAGAGAAGCTGGAGGAATCGCTCCTTCACACAGAAAGGCCCTGGAGGTGGAATTGAACCCAGGACCCTCTCGCTGTGAGGCCACTACTGCGATACCATGCACAAGAGAAAGATAAGGCACAATGTTAGCCTGTAAATCCTTGGTACCTTTGCTAAAATAGCTGCGTATCTTCTTCCACAGATTGACGTTGTTGTTGAAAATAATTCCCCTCTCGTGCATCCCGACACAGCTCAGTCCCAGAGTGCTCCCGAATCGAGACGTGTAGTTTGAACTCCTCAAAACATGGTGCACGGCTGAAGCTCTGGCGAGGACAGGACATTATAGTAAACATAAACATCCAACTTCTAAGATTGTTTGGATGTGACAGTGATCCACACCTGCTGAGGACCAGGGTCTCCTCTCCGTTAATCCAGACTCTCACCATGTCGCCGTACTTGTGGTTGTAGAAGTTACTTGCCGTGCCGATGCCGGTCCAAATAAATCTCAGATATGAAAGCAGAGGCCCCAAACCCAGGAGGAACAAAGGACCTGGTTTGAAGGAGAACCACTTTTATTAGTTTATCATTCGTCAGTGAACTCTACACAAATATGGAAGAATACAATCACAACAGCAACTTCCATCTAAGGTTTCTGACAGTTTCTCTCAAGCATTCATCAATATTTGGTTTAACAAGTATACCAGCAAGGCAGCCCACCTCTAAAACAAATCTGTGCAAGAACACTCAATACTGAACTAAATGGCAAGGTGAGGCAAGTGCTGAACAAAACTAGATAGAAACATTTGTACAATAAAATCCTGAATGATCGCAGGACATTAAAATATAGTGAAGATACAACCCTTAAGTTGTATGCACAGCTAAACAAAACTGTTTTAACTGGGATTTGAACATTGTCAGAGTGCAAGCCTGTCTCACACTTTCAGGAAGAATGTTCCAGATTTTAACTGCACAAATCTGAAATACTGCCAGTGCCACCCCATTTTTAGTCCTGACTCTGGGCGCCAGCAGGAGACCAGTCCCTGTGCTCCTCAGAGTCTAAGTGGGTTCATATTGATCATAATTAAATCATGATTAATGAACTGGATATAAAACAGATAATAGCAAACATAGGAATGATTAAAATACTGGCACAAAGGCAATAAACATTCTATCTGCGTGGTTGGCAAGCACGTTGCTATCCTACAATGTATGTCTGCGAAAAGGAAAGTGAGGTGTGAAAGGTGAGCGGAAAGAGAGCGGAGCTACTGTACATGTTTTAGTGGTAGTTTTTAGTGGAACTGAACCCAGGAGAGCCACACATTCAAATGACAAATCTCACATGTTGCTGCAGTGGCTCTCAAACCCTTCACACCAAGTACCACAAGCAATATTTGGCTTTCTGTACTAAGGAAGCCACATGAATAAAATAATGAATACTAAACTTATAGACAGTTAAAATAAATGCACATATATGTAGTTTAAAATGACAGAGGACCCACCGAATAAACTCACTGAAATCAGTCACTCAGGCCTTGAATGCTTTTGACTAACATTACACGTTCAATCATTCAATAGTATAATATAGTTAATATTGTGACCCAGGGGACAACTGGATACAAGATACAAGAACTCAGATTACCCCAGAGGTGTCTCACTTTTCCCCACTGTTCATTACTGATGCAGGAGGGTCTAAGGACAGTGATGATCCGGGACATTTATGGACATTTTCATCCTGCTGCCTATGGACTAATAGCTCCTATGTGTTTGAGTGTATTTTTTTCCTGTGTTTGATTCTTCGATCTGTTGATAAGGAATCAACAACCTTGTAAAGTCCTCCAAGACGACTGCTGTTGTAGAAAACCTTAATGTAAAGTAATACGCTTCCACGTCAAGAGGAGCCTGCTGAGGTGGCTTGGGCAGGAAAGACCCAGGAGACACTGGAGGGACTTAGTCTCTCAGCTGGCCAGGGAGCATCCCGGAGGAGCTGGAGAGGGAGAGGGATGTCCCACCCAGCAATAGATGGATGTGTTATATGTTCAACACATATAAAGGCAAAATAGCTGTTGATATTATAAAAACCGTTGAACAAATTTCAATCAATTTGATATGCGTGGTTTCTAGTTGGCTTTTAGCATCAATCATAGGCCTATTTTAAATCCCTAATCCAGTGTTCCCCAAACTTTTTTCCTTTTAACCAATCACATGGCATACCACCAGCTGAGACTGATACAAACTGATGTTACTCTGCAGCCTTTATTAATAAAACAAAGTAATTCTCATCAAAGTGTAGTATATAGAAAATCAGGGAAGTGCAAAGAAGTATTTCTAATCTTGTAATTCTTTTTTTTTTTTTTTCTCATTATTTTGACCAAGTAAGGCACACTAACGTTTCACGGCAATAGTTGATAAACACCACTCTAATCAACTCCGAAAAGATAAATTTCATGTAAAAAGAAAAGTCATTTATATATGTTTTTAAAAGACATAAACAAAAATCCCAAAGTGCACCTGGTGTGTGCGTTTTCCTCCTCTCACTGTGGCTCCACGCGACCAGCAGCACGCACACGAGCAGCACGAGGGTCCTGGTTGCCACGGAGACCCCAGAAGACAGCGACCCCGTGGCATTGTGGGATGTGTAGTCCGTCACGACCGGGTCCACGCTCTGGTTTGTCATGTCGCTTTCCGTGGGCCTAGGAAACTTCGGGGGAGACTGCGCGAAAATGCAGCGGCGACGGAAGACCTGGGTTTATAACGTGCAGCACTGGTACGACGCCAGGTCAGGGTAAAATCTCACGCCACAACACTCTCACCCAAAACGTCAACAACATGGCCGACCTTGTGCGTTGTCCTTGAGATCTGAGTGGTTCCAGTGTATGTACAGTTTTAGAGATGAAAGTCTAACATCAAAGACAAGTGGTTAAGCCCATCCTGAGAATATGAGGCTGGCAACAATATTATTATTGAACTGCATCTGCCAAGTCAAATAAAAATGGGGCCTTTGATCATAATGACACTTTTCTCTAGGGTTTTTCTCCACCCTTTGTATGCACCACAGCACACATTCTTGACACTAGAATACAATATTCACACTGCAAAAATCAAAGAAATATATGTTCACATTATTTTACAAAATATTTCCACTTGTAAGAGGACCACTTCAGTTCATGTCCAGGAGCCGACGACATGTATTGTAAACTGTTTTGACTGGATTTGGGCACTTATGTTCGGAGCCGGGGTTAAAATTGGGTATGATGTTATGTCCATATTGATTCACACCACTGCTTCATTATAGCGCCGTGTATAGAATGTAGAATAGAATGTTGTTACACAATCAATTACAAATATCATTATATACAAATAAAGTGAATGACTGGATCCGGAACAGATGCCTAAGCCACCTCAACTGGCTCCTGTTGACGTGGAGAAGCAGTGGCTCTACTCCGAGCTCCTCCCGTGTGACTGAGCTCCTCACCCTATCTCTGAGGGAGCGCCCAGCCACTCCGCGGAGGAAGCTCATTTCGACCGCTTGTATCCGCGATCTCGTTCTTTCGGTCATTACCCAAAGCTATTTTGTTACCCCCCTGAGCTCAGTCACACGGAGGGGTTCAGAGTAGAGGTGGCTCAGACATCTGTTTCAAATGCCTCCCTGGGGGCGAGATGTCCCAACGAGAGGAGACCAGGGGAAGACCTCGGACAAGTTGGAGGGACTATGTCTCTCAGCTCCCTTGGGAACGCCTCAAAATGAGCTGGAGGAAATGTGTGTGGATAGCAAAGTCTGGGCGTCTCAGCTTAAACTGCTGCCCCCACGACCCGGCAATGGATAAAGCAGAAGAAAATTGATGCATTCTCTTAAATTCTTTGTGTTTTAAAAGTTTGGCACTAGCTAGACCAGGGTAAATTGTACATTATATGACATTGCCTGTTTATTACACCATCAAATAAGAGTACTTGTTTCTATCTCTGTGAAATTGACTTCACAGATAGTATATCAAGATGGAGTTTAGTTTTCAGTCATAACAGTGATATAATAAGGGGTTTTCACAAACATGTCTTCTGAACTCTTTGGTTTGACTTCATTTTGTTTCTTGTCCCGCTTGTATAAAAGCCCCAGTGAATCCCACCTCCCACACCGAGCAGAGGAATGTGCTCCGAGTGAATGAGTGTCTGTGGCTGCTCCATAATAACGACTGTATGACGACTGCTGATCCGTGATAACAGAGAGAAAGCCCCGTCTCACTGCGTCCTAATGTCCACCGCCACTGTTTATGGGAATATATGTTAATGTAACCCCGAGCTGCGTCCTACCGCAACTATGTCCTCAAATTATACAGTTATTTGGGCCATTTTTCAAACAAGAAACATGTTTAGTTTCCGATTATTAATATCATTTCAGATATTTAACCTGGGTGCACATTAAACCCAGTCCATGTATCATGTCCTCTTTTCATTTAAGTAAATTATTGGACATTTATTGACATTCATGGACATTGGTCATCCCGCTCCCTATGGACCAATGGCTCTTGTGTGTGTTTGTTATTATTGCATTTCCTGTGTTCGAACTGTTTGATTCTCTAATATGTTGTTGGTGAATCGAACTATGGAATTTTTTGGATGAAAAATGGGCAATAACTTGTGCTACAGATACCATCACACAGGTCAAAGATAAAAACAGTTTTATATACTAGTAACACATTATTGTAACCCTTTTATTATTCGTTATAGTGTTGGTGGAGAATAGACTGTGAATTCTCCCCAATAATAGATCAACATAATAATAAAAATAATACATCAAACTCATATAGTGTCATTTTGTGCTCTCAAAGACGCTTCGCAAAACACATGAAAATAAACCTTGAAGAACAAAATTAAGGAAAGGCGAGCTGAAACAAGGTGGGTTTTGAGAAGTGACGTAAAGTTCTGTAGTGAGTCAGCGTTTCTGATGGGTTGTGGGAGTGAGTTCCAGAGAGTGGGGGCGGCTGCGGCGAAGGCTCGGTCTCCCAAGGTTCATGTAGTCCTGAGGGGACTACATGGAGTACTTTTCTTATTCAACCTTTTCTGAACAAAATTTGGAAGTGGAGTTATTGTTTGGTTACTTAATTCACCCTTCTGCGGTTTAAGGGACCGAGAAGTTACCGAGAATAAATATGAGTCTTTTACTATCAAAGACAGATTGTATATGACATGGTCTCAAAATGATAATAAATTAGTGATGCTGTACGATCATATTGAGCAGCCGCTTCACAAAAGCCCTGATGCTTTTTAAAAAATGCCTGAACTGTCAGATCAGACCCACATTGACGCAGTGCCTGAAGAAACGGCCAGGGACAAAACACTGACCCTTTCGTCAAAGCCTTGTTATCATTTACTATTATGGAGAGCAGCTTCAGTGACAGGCCGTTCCACCCTCGCTAAATCATTATTCTCAACAATTGTCATAAGAGATTAATATAATGTGATTTTTTTCAGTGCAGAGAAAATCTATTCTTGAAAAATTATGATGAGAAAATTATGAAATGAAATGAGTATTTATTTTTGATATATATCTATTTTTTATATGGACATAACAATTACTTTGGACAGATCAGATGCACTGCCTTTAGTGTTATAGTAAGACCAGGCTAAATTTCAACACATTCAACACTTTGACTTTCAACACTTTGATTTCAGGGACAGTTTCAGACGTGTGGTAAAGATGTTTAAGGTGTTAAGAGTAAATAAAGCTGGTGTACCTAAAATACATTCATTTGAAAAAAATGTTTTACCAAATTGTTGAGAGAAGCTGCAAGGAACTAGTCACATTTTATAACATAGCTCCTTAGAACGCCGATGGTGTCATCACATAACATTTTCACTGTTATTTTTGACAGAGAGCCAACACAAGACAACACAAAGTGCCTCACAACCCACATCACATCAAGCATAAATCATAAACATTAAAACCTACATATATATTAAAAAATACAATTAAAATCCCACAGGGCATTCAAATAAGATAAGATCAAAATAAATATTAAAAACATAAAAACTAAAATCACACAAGTGAGTAAAAACCTTAAAACATTAAAATCACACATGGGATTAAAATCATAACAAGCCATGGTGCATTAAAAAGAGTAAAGATAAACTCAAAGATAACATCATTCAGTTGTAATAAATTACTTAACAAATGGAGAAAAAAATGCAAAAATAATCGAACAAACATATTATTGTTGTTGCTGCTTTGGTCGTTACACACGTTGATTGTTTGAGTTTATGACCAAACTCGTCACTTGTCTTTCTGAGAAAAAGTCACTGAACAGTCAGTGAGTGTGATGAAGACAAAGGCCGGAGGTTAAACGAATGGACTTGAGGGAACTTCAACAGTCAGGGAAAACCATGGATGTATTTTAATACTGTGAATCGTGTGTTGCTTAAAACAGTCTCCACATGGACAGAGGGTGAGATTTCCCACATAGACCTGAACGCAAACTGAAGTGGCCAAAACAAACAAACCTAAATGGCAGACACCAACCAGGGCCGTCCAGATCCGATGCCTCATTATTTTACTGCTTCATCACATGCAAACAATTTTCCCCTTGGGACAATAACGTTTTTGTGTTGAGTTGAGTCGAGTGAGTCGAGCTACACCCACCAAAATGTAACCACTGGACTCACCAAGTCAAACAAAAATAAGGACAAAAAAAAGGCTAATAAACCAAACTATGCAGCGACAAGCCACAAGCGGGACCAGGAGTGAGAGAGGCTAGAGCAGAGAGGGGCGGACAAGGTCAGCACTACTTATACTCCCGTCCCGAGCAAAAAAATATTCAAAACCAATTTCAAAAAGTTTTTGAAAAGGAAAAAATTAAATAAATCCTACTGAAACTAATATAATATCAGAAATACTTGGACAATACCAAGGACAGAAGGTGCCCAAACATAACACACAGGGACCGGCCTCCTGCTGGGACTCTGCGGAGCACAGGGACTAATATTTTGTATTGACATTATGTATATTGGCTTGTGAAGCACTTTCGGTTTCACTGAATTGTTCTTTATAGATACATTTGATCAAACCAAATGTACAAACCAAAGAAATAATACATTGTATCTCGCTAGTTTTCACATGTCACAGCATGTCACAGCCATAAAACTGCTTTTTCACCCTCCCTCAGCCAATCAGCTCTCAACCCAAAGTGTCAATTAGCGACAGAGTATTCAGATTCAGATTCAGATTCATTTATTTGCCATTTGCAGTAAAACCACATAGGAAAAACTGTGCAAGACTACCCCGGTATGCAAAAAAACACGTATTCTACTAATATTAAGACAGCATGTATGATAAATTGTTATTCAATGTTTAATTATTAGTCAATCTGTTTACTAACTGGGCATGCTCTGAGTAACTATTTACACGTTTATGTCATATTCCAGACTGCCCACGTCGCCCCGGGACAATCTCCAGAGCTGAATTTAAATCAGGTGACTGAACAAGAGAAGCCCAGTCAATTGTGCAATGCCCCTTTACTCCTACATGCAACCAGGCTTTCTCCACCATTGGCCACCAGTCACACAACAGCAGCCTCTATTCAAGCAGGCTCCACAAAGACTCCAGACCAGCATCAAATCTACCCTGGTTTTTGACATTTTTTGTGATTTCCTTCGTCAGGGTTTTCAGAAGTATTTCGAATGCAGAAGCGTGACAGCGACATTATAACCATGTGGATCCCGACCCCGAACCTGACCGCCCTGCAAAAGTTCATCCTCTACGGGACCTGCGTTCTGGCCGTGCTGAATTCTCTGGGGTTGTTGGTGGTGTTGGTGCAGCAGAAGCAGCAGGGGGCTCAGCTGGCGAAGGTGGACGGGCGTTTGGTGGACGTGGAGCACAGTTCGGTGGTGGAGTTTCTGCAGGAGGTGCCCAGAGGAGCGGAGGGAGTCAGGGCCAGCGCGGCGCAGCACATGTACTCCAGGAACAAGCGCAGCGGGGTGGAGAAGAGCGGAGAAATGGCCGGGTACGAGGACTCGCAGCAGGAGGTCAGCCAGGAGGTGGGGGAAGAGGCGCAGGGCAAGAGGACGAAGCAGAAGTATCACCACGGTTACCACAAAGCTCATGTGCAAGAGGACACGGTGATGATGATGACGTACTCCATGGTCCCGGTGAGAAACTGTGGTTGAAATGTTTAGTTTATGGTTTATTTCAAGCACACAATGAAAAAAAGTGTGGTTGTAAGGACACAGATTTTAACACAAAGAAAATGCACTGTACAACACTTAAAAAGAAGTGGGATGAAATCAAACACCCCATCTTTCATCGTCTTAATATTATTAGGCAAGGCAGGTTTAAGTGTATAGCACATTTCACACACAAGCCAACTTCAAAGTGCCCAACGAAACAAGATAGAAAAAATCACACAAGGCGTTAAAATCATACATAATTATTTACAGCACATTAAAAAGAGTGGGACTCAGTTGTTTGCACAGCTAAAGAGAACTGTTTTAACCTGGATTTGAGCATTGTCAGAGCTGAAGCCTGTCTCACATTTCCATGTAGACAGTTCAACATTGAGTTCCTTTGGTTTTACCCACTTTCTTGCTAAACATAAGCACTTATATTTCCCTACATTAAAAAATGTAGGGAAATCTTTGTTTTATATCTGGACATTGCAAACTGGTTCCATCCACCCAAGCAGCAGCACATCAGACTCCAACCACTTCTTCAGGTCTTCGGGTTAAGACTGGGTTCACTTGAGGAAATGGGTGGAGTCTTGTGTGTCCCTGTTTGGTTGGAAGGAAAACCTGCAGCCACCCCGGGTCTTTTAGGACCGGTTTAACCAGTTGTGCGGGAATGGTTCTTCTTACTGTGTACCATTGTAAATATGAAGTGTTGTTTTCCTCTCAACACAAACCCTGTTCCCTCTCCCTATGACTGTAATAGTATCATTTGACCAAAGCTGCTCACAGAAGTTCACCAGAGAACACTGTTTTTAGTTATCAGAAAACAGTTTGTCCTGTGATTAGATTTGTTATTATTATTTAGCGATATTTGATCTTTGTGTCATCCAGCAGTTTGAAGTACCGACATATTCCTACTTTTGATGAATGCAAAGCAATTTTTGGATTGAAAAATCATACTAAAGAGTCAGGTCAGGGTACTTTACTTTCCAGACACAAAAAAGAAAGATGTATCCAGCTAGTTCTTCACTACCAAAACAGTTTTCAGTTCGATCCAGCTGCAGCCATACTGTGATCAAAAATGTAGGTCATTGCTTTGAAAATGACACAAAAACCCATTACCCTCATTGATTTTTTTTTTTTTTCTCCTCAGTAAAGCACAGCAATCTCCTGGATATTAAAAAAATTGGCAGAGAGAATATCTAGAGTGTCAATGGTTTTGAATGATCTTTGTAAAGAGCACCCTGATCCATTTGATTTTATATTGCATCTCCTGAAGCAAAATCCAGCTAAAAATCCAATAAAAGATTGACCTTTGTCACAGACTTAACACTAAGACTCTGAAACTAATCAAATACAACATTTTGTGAATAGGATTTAAAATACAGCTTAAACAGTTTGTTGAAATGCTAAATGCTGTCAAGAACACAGTGTGTTGCTATGGTAACTAGAACTCGCTTTAGCGCTGTCCTGCATTTGAGTTCTTCCCTTATTCTTGAAACGGTAAACGGTGAATGAATGAGCAGCAGTCTCTCAGGTGATAACCATGTCCTGTTCTTTTCAGATTAAACTCCTGATTGACATTTGCAACAGCTCTAAAGGCGCCTGCATCGCTGGTTAGTTTACTCATGTTTTATAACAACAAAGATTATATGTTTTATTTAAACTGGCTCTTTCTGTGTTGCAGGACCTCCTGGTTTACCCGGTAAGTGACTCCAGTCTTCTGTAGTTGGTGACATCACTCTTACAGCGACGTGTTGTGACTGGACCTGGTTCAGTTTAAGAGTTTTTGTTACTGTTAAGCCAGTAGTGAATATGAGTGTTTTACTGTATTTAGAGGCCACACTCTGGAAGTGTGTAGAATGTTTACATTTTTTCGGGGTCATCAAAGTTCCGGGATCACAGTAGAAAAGCCATTTTATACTAATTAAATAAAATATAGATTATTATTTTCCATAACATTATATCTGTTTCACATTATATGAGTTTTTGCAACAAGGAATATCCAGCACTACTATAATATGTTTTAATTTTACAATCAAGAAGTCTAAAATTGCTGTGTAAGTTTAAAGCTGGGGTGCCTAACTTTCTAACCTAATACTATATACTCTTACATGTACGAAAGATATTTTTAAATAAGATAAAGACTGCATGTTCTGGTCTTCGCAAAATGTCAGTTTCACTCCTAATCTCTTTCTTCTATTGGGAAAAAAACACGTACGCTGTTCAACTTAATGATAATATTGCGTTGTCATGGTGATCCATTGGCCCATAAACCCAGTGACATGCAGGCGTCCTTCACATTGAGTGCTGTGGTCTGTAGGTTTGCCTGGTGTGGACGGAATGCCCGGGTACAACGGCACTGATGGAATCCCGGGTCTGAATGGAACGCCCGGGGCAGAAGGCCGACGAGGCAAAAGAGGTGAGAGCAGGACTTTCCTCAGTCTCTCTTTTCTTTCTTTCGTTCCATTTTGAATCAGGCCAGAGGCGACGACCATTTCTGACCATTTCGGGGCAGAGGGTCCGGACCAGAGCACTGTACAACACAAAGGGGACACTGTAAATGCACCAAGAGCACAGCCAAAAGAACAGTGTTAAAAAGAGGCAGACACACGACGTGAGCCTCCAGCGCTCACCATTCAGAGCGCTGCAGTGGAGCCGGGGTCAAGGCCGTACGCAGCGCTGAGCTTTATACTCCCGGGCTGTCAAAAGTGCTCAACAATAACGCTTGCTTTTTCCCTCAAGAAAAAAAAGTGGTCGGACGTGCTTTATGTGGCTCTACAATTTCACCTTCTAATGACCTAGGTCCTGAGTTTGTCCAGATTTTCGGGTTGTAATCATTTTCTGCTGTAGATTGTTCTATTATTTTTTATCATAATTGTAAAGTGCTTTGTGACTCTTGTCTGTAAAAGGCGCTATATAAATAAGAATTACTTACGTACTTTTTATCATCACTCTGGTATCAACATTGGTATCAAGTTTGTCTTTCTATTAGTACAACTATCTACTACGCCGAGGAGTGTAGACATGGAGGATTCTGCTCAATTGTGCAAGTTCCGTTCTATTTATTTGTGTATAAACCTAAATCACAACAGCAGTCGTCCCTGAGGACTTTACAAAGTTCTCAATTCCTGAACAACAGATCAGAGAATCAAACATGTTCGAACAAAGGAAATGCAATAATATCAAACCAGCCATTTGTCCATATGGGAGCAAGATGAACACTTGCTCCCATATGGACAATATGATCCTTAAATGTCCGGATCATCACTATGCGTACAAAGACCCTCCTGTGTCGGCAAGTACCAACAAAAAAATTAAAAAGAGTGAGAAAAAACAGAGAAACCTGAGGGAGGCTCATATGGGATCTGCTCCCACAGACAGACAGGCTGTAGATCCAGGTCTCAGACTGTCCAACGAGGACTGCGGTAATGCTCACAGGGGCCTTGGTTATTCAGCGGGAGCTTCAGGCAAAGTGGGGTCAAGTGTCTTGCCCAGGGACACAACAACAGCAGTCATCATTGTTGCCGTGAAATAGGTCTCATGGTGGGCTCGAACCCATGACCTTCAGGCTCTAAGGCCAATGCTCTACCAACTGAGTCTGTCGCCCAAATAATAAATACAGTACCCTCGATACTGAATTCTGGTATAAAAGACCCTTTTGAAATTATTTTTCTGACAAAATGCTGCATTTTTCATGAACAAGGAAAAATAACCGTATGTGTTTAAATTCTCTGAGTGTATTGTTGTCCGCAGTCATTACAGTCTGATGTGTGTTGTGGCAGGGCCCCCCGGAGAGAAGGGTGAAGCCGGGGAACGAGGAGATCCGGGAGAGCCTGGTCCCCCTGGAGAGGACGGACAACCATCCAACGATGTCATCATCCAAGGTCCAAACACACGCTGGAAATGAAAATATCAAACCACAATATTTGTATTTTTACATTCTTTCTTTATCCAGTCTTTCCTTTTATTGCAACATGATTAAATGACGAGGTGTTTAACAGCTTCACTGTAGCTTCCATGTCTGTAATGATTCACCATCATCTGTTTTGACAATAAACAAGTGTGCTACAGTTACTAAAACTTGATGGAGTCAAAATAAGAAGTCTAAAATCATTTTTATTTTATTTATTTTATTTCTTTTATAAGCTCTGCTCTAACAACTTAGCATCACTCTACAAGCCGCAGGGTTCAAAGAACTAGACAAAAAACTGGAACAGGGATAGCAAAAACAAGTGCAAAAAGTCAAAAATAGCGCAGGAGGTTTAGCCAATTCAGAATTCTCAGCAGATTAAACAATCCGTCTGTAGAGCTGGGTTTTGGAGTCTTCCAGGTCTGCCTCCAGGTGTGCAGGGCAGGCCCCCCTCCCCAGGAGAGGGAGGGGAGGGAGAGCAGGGAGCAGAGTCATAGACTGGAGTTTGACCATTTGTTTGCAAACAACATCATTCATTGCCTTTATTACAATTTGCTAATTAAATGGTTCAAACGCATGAAAAGCAATAATAACACTTGGGAGCCATTGGGTCATCAGGAGCAGGAATGACCCGTTTCCATAAAGTTTAATACATACAGTATCCATGAATGTCCTTAAATGTCCCGAATCATCACTCAAAAAACGGTGGGAAAAAAGAGAGATTTGATTGTGATCATGTGTCATCATGCAGCCAGAGAACAAGATAGATTAATGACATGGACATGACATTTTTCTGTTTCCCTAAGGTCCTCCGGGTCCCCCAGGCCCTCCTGGAGCCCCCGGCCCTGCTGGTCCTGCTGGTCCCCCGGGGCCTCAGGGTCCGTCTCGGATCAGACACAACAGAGCGCACCTGCAGGCTGCACAGACTCTGGGTGAGGGACACGCAACAATCACAGCGTCAAGAAAACATGTGCAAAGGAATCTGTAGTATTTATGTGGATGGTTTTATAATCTTTCATTTGAAGAAGCCTCAGCGCGGTTCCACGAGTGAAAACCAAAACTCTTGAATAAGACATTTGTGTGAACCCATGCGCTGGTGTGAAAATACAGCTATTTTTGGCAAAAGTGGATCAAACTATTTCCACTCCCATCGATCTGCTATGTAACCACGGAAACCAGATCTTATAGACACATGGGCTCTGGATGCATTTAAGAGCTCAGCAAAAGCCATTAGCTATAACAAATGTATGTGTTTGGAAATATACAATGGTCCTTCGTTTATTGCGGGGGTTACTTTCTAAAAAATAACTAAGATAAGATAAGATAAGAGATAAGATGTGCTTTATTTATCTCACAAAGGAGAAATTTACATGTCACGTTTGGCATGGATAGAGACACTCAGATTGTGCAAAAGAAAGAAATGTGCAAACATGTTACATGCAGGATAATTATGTACAACAACAACAAAAAAAGAAGTAGCTCTATGTTTTAAGGCACACACTTTACCTTTTCTAACCACCTCAACTTACGGCCGCTGAAAATGCCATCGCGGCGATATAAAACCTGGTGGTTGTAGAGCTGAGCTTTCAAAAGTCGTTCATAAAGTGTAAAAAAACAGCTGCAGAGGACATTGCACTCTATTTGTTCTTTGTGATGAATGTTGCAGAGTGACTTTATTAATATCAGTGATTTCTGACGTTTCTCTCAGTGTCGTCACACGCCCCGAACGACGGGAAACTGCTCGACAAACCAAAGAGAAGTGGTACAGCACGCACACATCTACTGCATCATTTATCTGCTGTGTTTTTGTGCTAAAGCCGGCGTTGTGTGTCTGCTGCAGAGTGTCTGATCAAGTCCCTGATAAACCCGAGGGAGGTGGCCCAGACCCACAGCACGTTCGGCTCCTGGATGAAGGACACGGCTCTGCTACACGACGAGAGGATCTGGGTCGCTGAGCACTTCTCTGGTATCACTTCACCGCTCTGTCTCTTTAGGCTCTAGGGCTTTACACAGGACATGTCGAAAGGCAGATTAACACAAAGACTCCCAGAATTCTGAAGCTAGTAGAACTTCCAGAACAGTTGATTCTGGAAAAATCTCCAAAAGCAGTTTTAGTTTTTCACTAGTTTTGAAAAAAATAAGCAATTTATGCAGTTTTATTATTTACACAATACACAAACAACAGTTACTAAATGCTAACAGCTGTCAAGTAAACAGTGTGTTGCTATGATGGCTACAATGACAAATGACTGCTCTGGGAAGAAAAAGTAGAAACATAGTAAAAGATCATTTCATATAAGATAATGACATAAAAATGTATAAATACAGAAAAAGTCACAAATGAAAGAATGATGAATGTTATGAAGAGCAAAAATCCCAAACTAAAAGCGGTCAAACTTGAAATAAGTATTGAATGATTAAATGTCTTCTTCTCTGGTGCAGGTCGAGTGGTGAAAGAGTACAAAAGCCTCGGTGCGTTCCAGAACGACACATACAGCATTGTGGATGTGAGAAAGTTCTTCCAGGGCTGCGGTCACATGGTTCATAACGGGTCTATGTACTTCCACATCGCAGGGACTCCCACCATCGCCAAGTACGCAGCTTTACAACCACGACTGTTCTGGCTTACTCTCTGGGAGGGTCCGAGAGGGTCTGAGGGGTTCTGGGACAGTCTGAGAGGGTCTAAGAGAGTCTGAGGGGATCTGGGATGGTCTGAGAGGGTCTAAGAGAGTCTGAGGGGATCTGGGAGGGTCTGAGAGAGTCAGGGAGGGTCTGAGGGGATCTGAGAGAGTCTGAGAGTGTGAGGGGATACATGTGTTTCTATTATATATTATTATTTAAATTACATTTAAATAATTAGCTCAGTTGGTAGAGCATTGGCCTTAAGGCCAGAAGGTCGTGGGTTCATTTCCCACCTCTACACCTTCTCCACCGACTCCCACTGATGACTGCTGTCGTTGTGTCTTTGGGCAAGACACTTAACCCCACTTTGCCCAAAGCCCCCGCTGAAAGATCAAGGCTATGCTCACAGTCAGAGAGCAGCCGTCCTCCTGTGGACTCACCACCTGCAGAGGGTCAGTGAGGGGCTGGTGCTATGAGACTTGGGTGGCATCTCTGACTGCCACCCCCCTGACCCAGAAATGGATTAAAGGGTAGAAAATGGATGGATGGATGGATGGATTATTATTTAAGGACATTTTATGAAGCTTTATGGACAGTGGTCGTCCTGCTCCCAAAGAAACCAATGACTCTCTGTGTTTGTTATTTTTGCATGGCTGTGTTCGAACAGTTTTATTCTCTGATCTGTTGTAAAGCAGTTGTTTTCACACTTCATATCTGACACGTTTTCCCGTCCTGCAGATTTGACTTTGAGACGCGGCGGCTGCACGCGCTCCACGTGGCCCACGCGCTGCACCACAGCCTGGCGTACCTGCTGCAGAACTCCAAGACCTACTTCAAAATAGCGGCGGACGAGAACGGCTTGTGGCTGATCTTCGCGTCCAGCATCGATGACGTCATCATGGTGGGACAGCTGGACCAGAAGAGCTTCTCCATCTCCTCGTACGTCAACACCACGTACCCGCGCGCCAAAGCCGGGAACGCCTTTGTGGCCTGCGGCGTCCTGTACGTGACCGACACCAAAGACGGCAGGGTTTCCTTCGCCTTCGACCTCCTCAAGGGGAAACCGGTGAACGTGATCTTTGACCTGCGACCTCCTGGGGGGGTCCTGGCCATGTTGTCCTACAGCCCCAGAGACAGACACCTCTACATGTGGGACGACGGCTCCGTGAAGCTCTCCGTGGTGCACTTTATATCTGATGAGTGATGAGGAGAGAACTCCACATGGTTAAAGTCACCACCAGTCTGAGGCTCAGGGGCAGGGCTGCATCCAAATAACTCCAGAGATGGAAAAGCCCTGTTTCCACCTGCCCTACTCTACTTGGTTCTACCCCTCTCAGATTGGGAGCATTTCCATAAGTCCTACATTATTCTACTTAACTCTACTCTACCCAGTTCCACCCCTCTCAGGTTGGGAGCATTTCCACAGGTCCCACTCTACTCTACTCCACTCTACACTACAATGAACATCCTTGAAAAAAGGTTCTTAATCTCAATGGGAGGACTTTCCTGGTTAAATTAAAGTTAAACAAAAAAAATTAAAATTCTACTTAGCTCTAATTGACTGTACACTACACTACACTACTCTACTCTCTACCCCCCCTGGAGAGTTTCCACACGTCCAGTTTAACCAGTAACAGGTACTGGTTACCACTAGAAAGTACTCTTTTACTGTATGTCCAGGCCGAGCTGGCAGTTTATGAAATAAATATATTTGTTTCTATCATTCCCAGTATCAGAGTAGAACATTGATGCATTCTAGGCTCTGTGTCCGTAGATACATAAGACTTGTAAATAACATACAGTAATCTTTTGGGTTAAAGTATGTGTTTTTTATAGTTCATAAACCTGCACTTCTACAATCCAATGACTTTATTCAGTGCTGTATTTATTATTCGTATTTATGCTCTGTGTGTCTAATAACTGTGTGAAAACATATGCAAAAAATGTACTTATGAGTGCTTTGGATTTGTCCTTTGACATCTTTCCTCAATGTTGGTCTGTATTTTCAACCACTTTTATCACGGTAGAAACCTCATGAAATCTGGTCTATTGTGACGTCATCTCTGGCTCATAATGCAAACTCTAACTGACATACGGTAGAAGTATTTTTTGTAGTATCTGTATTTTGATTTTAAAGCTGGGGTTCGTAACTTTCAAGCCACATTGACTATGTAATCAAATCCGTCCGCTCTCCAAACAGTTTCTAGTAGGCTACGGCTGCTGCTGTTTTTTGGATCAGCTTTTTCAGACAGAAATGTGATAAAGAGAGGACCACCCTCACTCAACCAATCAGCTCTCAGCCCAAAAATACAAATAGTGACATGGCTCTATTTTTATTTATTTTTCTAAAGATGACATGTTTTCTCACAAATTGGTCATGATACAGGACCCCAGCTTTAAGCACAGATCATTTGTGCTTGTATGCATGATTTCAGTGTAGCTCTACGTACTTGTACTCACGTAATAGTACCCGGTCAATACTGTAAAATTCCTGTAACTCTGTCCATGCCGTGACTGCGCTGTGTCTGTGATGCTCTACGCACATAAAACGTCGCCTGTAAAAGAACGAATAAAAGCCGAGTGAATCTGATGAAATAAAACAATTTATTCATCTTTGAGATAAACTCTAGCCACAAACTTCAAACATTTCACACTTGTGCCCTTTTTCAGAACAGAAGACCAGTGACTTTTGGCTTCCTTCGTCTCTCACGCTCATGGATAAACATCTAGGACACACACAGTACACGTAGTGGGCAAAAACATGGGAGAGAAACACAATCTTTTCAATAATAAATACCTACATACACTTAACAAAAGAACTAATCCAGCTGGTATGATACAACCCAAAAATAAACAAATGCTTTAGTTTGTACAAGCTGTCGTGGTAGTTCATATGTATATATTTATATTTATATTTATACCCTTTCTATAATAATAAAACTATTCGAAACATTTTACTACTAGGGCCAGATAAAGCCAGACATTCATGTATATATATAACAGTATTCTCTTTGATATCCTACTTATCTTAAAAGAAAACGTTTAGTGTCTCCAGATTTGAGTAGAATTATGAATTCCTTTATTGATGAGAACTACAGAACGCACACTAACACAGTAGTAGCACATGATCCTTCAAAATAAAAGCCTTACATTCCCGAAAATTAAAAGGCATTAGTTTTTCGGATAAATAGATTTGTACACAGGAATGATCAACACAACATAAATAAATTAAATATCAATTAAAAAAACAAAACATAAATAAGTCAAAAATCTTGTGCAAAAAACTGGATTTCTGCAGCGGGACACGGACGAGACGTTTTTTGGGGGGAACACGTACTTCAAACACGGCATCATCCAAACAGGCAGTGAGGGCAGGCAAAGAGCGCACGATGAAATGGAACCGGCGGCGGCTTAAGACCGAAACCGCGCGCCCGGCGAGAGAGGCCTCACGCGCGCAGGCTCTCTCCCCGGTTTGATTTGAGCTTCAGCGGTTTTTTCTTTTTGCCGCTATAAAGGAGCAAAATGGGCACTCGTATCTTTGCGGACACGCGAGCTGGGTTAGGGTCCGAAAAACCTACTGAGAGAAACTGAAATTAGAACTTGTCCACTGACTCGATTCACACTGGAGACCACTTGACTGATTACAAACCACTGTGCTGGTTACAGTAGATGCTAAAGAGAGATTTCAGCTGTGGGCACAAAATGACGACAATAAACACGTTTTTTAAAAGTTTTGCTTGCGCACTTTTACAGAGCACTATCAATAGACCTGTGATTGCACCGCGTAATGAGAACAGGACATGCATAGCTTCCCTATTAACACTCTAGAGATTAGATATCTCCGTAAAATTACAATAAAACTAAGCTTCTCTCTGGTTTTTTTTCTTAAATCAAGTAGGGTATCTTTAGCTTGTCGAGAGCCTTTGGGAAAACACATATTTGCAGCTTTGTTTTGGTCGTTTTGGTTTGAACGTGGAGAGTAAACCTGTTTAAACGACACTGCTACCCAACCGTCGTTTCCCCGTGTTGTAGTAATGCCGAGCGAACGTAAGCCTTGGATTTCCCTTTTTGGACGTGTTGGTTAGAGCACATCGACCAGGCTGCTGGGGATGTGGTAGCGGTCGGGCAGCACTCGCATCTTGAGCGTGCCGTCGGCGCCGCAGGTGAAGATCCGGTTCCCCGGGCGAGTCTCCACCTGCATCACTCCGGCGCCGATGTTGCGGAACAGGGACTGCTTGGAGTGCTCTGTGCTGAAGGAGTGCATCAGGCCGTGACCCGCCAGCTTCCACACCTGAGAGAGGAGAGCACACGGTGAGAATGAATGTGTTGGGAGCCTCGACTGTGTAATAGTTATTATAACATAACATACTGAATATCAGGTCAAACCTTTGAACATCAGCTTTTTACCATCTAAAAACAGGATGATTTCTAGAATAATGGACCACACTTAAGAGCCCAAATCACAAGGAACAAATATGAGCCATTACATTACAATTATTTCCCAGTTTTTCCCCCTAAAATCCCATTAATTCCCATTATTCCCATGGAAAGTATCCAATATGCAATATTTCGGAAATTACACGGCTTAACTTTACCGGATTTTTTACACCATTTTGCAACCCTAGTTTAGAACCGACTTGGAGATTTGTATTCTGCATTTGCCTCCAGACCTGCTCACTGGGCTCAGTAGTTCTTTCATGCAGTGTATTCAAAACGCTGTACGTAGTTAAAAAGTCCTGACTAGAACCAGGAAGTACCACCATTAGTCCAGTTTTGAGGTCTCTACACTGGCTTCTTGCATGTCAGAGAATATACTTTACAACAGCTCTGTTTGTGCACAAGTCTTTCCATGGCCTCGCACCAAAGTACATCTGTGACGTGTTAGAGTAAACCCAGGTCTTTTAGAAAAGTGTTACCTTCATGTTTCCTTCGGCCGATCCGGTCACAAAGAAGTCCTCAAAGGGGTCGAGGGCCAGGGCTTTGATGGCCGAGTCGTGAGCCTGAAAGGTGTGCAGCAGCTGTCTCTGTCTGATGTCGAACACGCACACAAAGCCTTTCCTGCCGCCGGTGATGAGCAGCTGCTGTTTGGAGGCGTACTGCAGCACGGTGGCGCCGTGGTCGTGGCACGGGAACGCTGAGGGGAGGGAGAGGACAGGGGTGGGGTTAATGTTGATGTTGTTGATGTTAATTAGTATATGAAAGTGTTGGAAGTATCTATAGCAAAACTACACAAAGAATGGTTAACATGGTTAGGGTTTCAGTAGCGTTTTAGACAGAAGTATGGTCACTTAGAAAGGTAACACTATTATCTTGTCTCCCCTACTTTAGCTGTCATCACATGGAGCTGTAGTCTGTTTATTGCTATTCACCCATAGCAATAAACCATTGTCTCTCTTACCGTGGATCATGCTATTGCTTGGAGAAATGAGGGTGTCCCAAAGGCAGACGTTTCTAAAGAGGGAAAAAAGAGAAGTGACTTTTTAAACTTAATCTTTAAACAAAAACAAAAAAGAGAGTGAGTTTGCATGTTATCCCCATGTCTGAGTAGGTTTCCTCCAGTTTCTCCTACCACAAGAAACATGCATAATAGTCCCCCACGCCCTCCCTGACCCCACTGCTGCCCACTCTCTGGGTCCAAGACTCCCCTGAAAAAGAGATTCTTAACTCTTAAATAAAAATAAAAATAAATAAATCAATGAATACATATTTTGTGTGCGTGTGTGGTCGAAAAAGCATCTGTGCCTGCACCATGTCTGATTACTTTGTTTTGTGTGTGTTTTTGTACATTCCCGTCCTGTCTTTTGTACTATATATGGGTTTTATATCATTGAATATAAAACTCGTAGACTCCGCTGTGGTCTCTGGAGAAGTGAGTCCCATGTGTGAGCCAGGGTGAAGGCCCTCTCGACTCTGTTGATGGTCCATGTGCAGAGACAAAAGGGCTTTCAATGTCTCACCATCAAGTGTCTCTGCTGACGAAGGACGAAGTCTACCTCCCAAATGTGGTAACTAAGCAGAACTAGCTTCTTTACACTCTTTGTCCTATTATAAGAACCTTAAAAGCCTTAAATAAGCCTTTATATATATTGTATTTAATCTTACCGGCAATCGTTAGACTGTCCGGCTGTAGCGATGAGGCTGGAGGATGTGATGAAGGCGAAGTCTCCACAGGTTTTGGTGTGACACTGCCAGCTCTGAGGGATAGAAAACCAACGTACACAATGAGAACATAAATGTATTTTTGCAGTTGATAAAAAAGATCCAAATGAGTTCTCACCAAGTATGGTTTAGGGTTTGAGGACGTTTGGTTAACCTGCCACAGACTGAGGAAGCCTTCTCCATCAGCAACTCCACACTGCAACAACATTTGAGGAAAAGATTGTACTCAATCTACATTTAACAGTTAGGAATGTTTTTCAATGTACTATTGTTATGGCAAAAACACCTTAAGCATTAGTTAGGGGGCAGAATGAAAGAAGCAAGGCAACAAATCTGTCTAATCTTTGCCTACTTTGTGTTAGCAAGACAGGGGGCCGGATAACGTGAAAGAGAGGGCCGCAATTGGTCCGCAGGCCTTAGTTTGGCCATGCCTGGTCTAAACAGAAATCAGTTTTGAGTGGGAAATTACTCTCTGCAGTAAAGAATGTAGTTTGACTGGATAAAATCATAAAACTAATTTGGAAGCAAAAAATGTCATCTATGAGGCAGAAAACGGTTGTCCCTGATACTGGACAAATGGGCAGTTGGATGTGTATGTGCCAGCGTGGGTAAAAGCATGGGTAGAGGCAGGTCTGTTTGGATGATGGTGTCTTTCTGTGGTCACCTTGTTCCCCTGGGAGTTGAAGTACAGGCGTGTGACCCGGGCGTTCCCTGCCTGCCGGAAGCAGATGAGCTGCTGAGGTCTGTTCCACTCAAACATGCGCACGCTGCCGTCCTGAGCGCCGGTTAAGTCTGGACACGACATAAAACATCATTCAGAGCAGAACAAACCAGAACAGACTCCTGGGGCGGGACTTACAATACTGATAAATGGGATGGGACGTCATTCGCTTCACATTGTTTAAATTTCGCTTCATGATCTGGAATAGAAGAAGAGAGTTCATTAACCCACAGGAAACGTAGGCAGACACAGGGAGAACATGCAAACTCCACACAGAAAGACCTTGAGCTGCCTCGGGACAGCTGTAACCACTGACCACACCAATCTTGTTAAAAATTCATGTTTAATGATTGTCGTTGAATGTGAGGACATGTAGCGGGTTTAAAATGAAGAACTCTGCAATACACTGCAAAAAATTATAAAATATGAGAATCATTTGCCAAAGGGACAAAGCCATTTAGTATTATTTCAAGAAGTGTTGCTTTATTTTCTCATTCCAAGGGAGACATTTCTTGTATCTTTTTAAAACAAGATCATTTAGCTTGTTCCGTTTGGCAAATCTTGTTTTAAGGCAGTCAAAATAAGCTCAAATTAAGATACAGTTTGCCAAATTTGAGCAATTCTTGACTTATTTTTAATCACTTTATGCAATGTACTTCCTGTATATTTTTGGATTTATCATTCTGATAACGTGTAAATTAGAGTAGTGTAATCCTTATCCTTGTAGCTGGAACATGAAGATCCCGGTTTAGGTGACGCAGATTTGCACCTTGGGTAAATTTCAGTAAATACAAAAGTCCGTATCGGCCTCATAGACGCAGCACATCAGCTGTTTAGTCCACGCCGCACGGTTCGGGTCTGATAACAGCCGCTCGTGTGATAGGGCAGGAAACAATGAGCGTGTTTACAAAGTACTGATGAAAACCGGTGTCTTTGGATCTATTGTATTATGTGGATGGACCTCAATATATATTATTAATTTTTATGCTTTTTTTTGTTTTTTTAATAATAATAACAATAATAATACATTGGTTTTATATAGCGCTTTTCAAAAACTCAAAGACGCTTAACAATTCAGGACACACACACACTCGCACGTTTAGACAGACACACAAAACTAAAAATCAAAAGCAGGAAAGAAGAGTCCAAAGCTGAAACTAAGAGTCGTATGCTTGGAGGAAGAGGTGAGTTTTTAGCTGTTTTTTGAAGGAGTTTAGTGAGTCCGAGTTTCTGAGATGAAGGGGGGAGAGAGTTCCAGAGAGTGGGAGCAGAGATGGCGAAAGCTCGGTCCCCCAAGGTTTGGTGCTTGGATTTGACAGTGGGAGTGAGGAGATGTATTAATATATTTTTTATATGAACTAAAACGGCTTGTCCTCAGCTGACAGGGAACCTACAGCGTTCACTACGGTCAGGTTTGGTGAAGATTTTAGTGTCCGTTGTCATCCTGGACTTTTTTTTCTGTTGAAATCCACTGGTTTCCCATGTTATTTATTTATTTTTTGAGCACAATTTGAGCACAAAATACTCACGCATTTCAAATAGTTAAACACATGCTTATTTCTACATTTAAATATTAGCTGTAACATGGTATCGGTGCTTAAGTACATCAGGAGGTGTGTTTTAGTTCAGTCAAGTAACTAAGTAAGTAATCTTTATTTTAATCTTTATAGCGCCAGATTCACAAAGCGCTTTACAATCTGTGTTTTTTGTGGGCATTTTTCTTCTCACTCCGCACAGAGGAGGGAGCGGGGTCGCCAGTACAGGAGGCGCATGCCAGACTTATTGTACATGTTTTTAGTGGAACCGGAGCACCTGGAGGAAACCTACGCAGTCACTCACAAAGATTAGTTTTGAAACATAGTGTATTTATTAAACTAGCGCACATTCACGTCAAGGAAATTACATGAAAAGTATAACATTACCACGCTGGCTCCCATGCTGGTCTGTCCGCTGCCGAGCCAGGGCATGGAGGCCGACACGGAGGTCGCAACGGGCATCTGAGCCGGAGCAAAGGGGGTGGAGCCAGTGTGGGAAATGTTGGTTTGGGACGAGCGGTAGTCCACATCGTCTGAGCTGCAAGAGACAGAAAAAGACATTTACAGGAAATACACAGAGAGGAGAGAGACTGGAGCGTGGATGAGATTGTGGGGAGTGGATGGTGATTACAGGTACAAGAACTCACTTCGTTCCAATATCTGAGCCTCTCAATTCAATTCAATTAACTTTATCTATTTTATAGCCCTAAATTACAATAGTAGTTTTCTTGGAGGACATCAAACAACCGTTGAACTCGCCAACACAAATCAAACAGTTCAAACACAAGAAATAAAACAGAAAGCACATTGGTATTGGTCCAAAGGGGCAGATGACCAATGTTAATAAATGTGGTTGAATGTTCTGGATCATCAGCACTGTCCTTTTAGTTAGACCTCTCCTCCTGTTGGCCCACCACCTGCAGGAGGATCAGTAAGGGGCTGGTGTTAGGAGAACTCCCCCAACCCAGAGATGGATTAAGGGGATGAAACTGGATGGATGGATAGATCTAAGATTTCAGAATCAGCCGTAAGAGCAGAGAGCTGACGGTTCATGAACTTCTGTATCATCTCTTGTGTCTTGTGTGTCTTTTTATGTGTGGAGTTTCTGAGTCCAAGACTAAACAAATAAACTTGTATAGTGAATATCTGTTTGTATTGAGAGCAGAGCTAAACAATTACCTGTAACCATGGAAACAGCTCATGTACTGACCCACACATGGACATCATCTGGCTCTGACCCTACACTCCACTCTTCATGTTTAGCTGAATGCTTTCTACACATTTTTGCTTTTAACGTTGCACCTTTTGTAGGACGACTTTGAGTGCCCAGAAAGGCGCCATATAAAATAAATCATAATAAAGTCTGACTCATTTTTTATTATTTCAATTATTTGATTGTAGATGGTTTCTATCTTGTCACTTTACCTGCTATCATTATTGATACATTATTACATATTCAATCATCTGATAATTCTGTTTTGATGATTCACTAGTCACTTTACCAGCTGCTTTTATTACTATGTTTTTTCGGGTCATATCTGCTGCTAAAGTACAATATAAACATCTATAAATACATCATGATCCTTCCACCTACAGTGAGCCAAGTGCATTTATTTTTATTATCTCATTGTTTTATTATTTTAACATGTATGATCTTGAATAATATATACGGTTTGATGTGTGCATAACCAGAGCGCTCTTATTTTCTCATTTTATTCTACTGAAATATGTCCACCAACATTGAAATTTCCCCAATGAGGGACGGCTAAAGGTTTATCATATCTTATCTTTGTGTAGGATTTTGTTTGTGTATGAACTGTGCTGTACAAAACTTATCTAAATGTAACGTCAAAAACAACTGAAGAGTGCAAACCTGCGAGACTCTTTGTCGAAGTCTTCTCCGATCCAGGTGAAGGGCTGCACAGACACCAGCGTGGACACATCCACCTCCTGCACGTCGTGAGTCGAAGCCAGGACGATCTCGTTAGAGTTGGACTGAAAACACAACGCGATCTGAAGTTATACCGGAGATAATGTCCTAAAAGCCTTCACTGGAAAAGGTTTGGAAATTAGCATGGTCTTGCTATGACACAGAATGTAGTGCTTTTGGTCTGCCCAATGTAACCGCTGTGCCCAAATCAATTACATGAATAAATACAAGTGTAAAGAATTGTGGAGAATTAAAATCTGCTATAATAAAACAAGTTATTTAGCGTCCTTAAAGGGTCAAAGCCATGTTCAAATTCAACCATCATCCGCAGAACTTCGAAAAAAAACTTTTATGACTGTATTACGAAAAACATCAATAAATATACAGAAGATGACATTTTTTTTTTACAAAAATACAATTAATTTATCATTTATCAGCCCCCACCATAAAAAAATCTTCATACATAAATACACGCAAAAGACATTTAGCTGTGCAGAATATTATCAAGTGCACAGAAGAATGGGTGGGAAGCTTGATATTAAGTGCTTAGTCCACAGGATGGGTAGGGCCGACTCTGCTTGTCATTAGCAAAAACAGACATCTCAGTTTAGAAAATATAGTCAAAAAGTTACATTCCTTAAAGAAGCTATACCCGATTTTTTTTCTAAGCAGTTCATAGAAATGCTTATTACTACATATAAGTTGTATTATAATCCGTAATTTAATTGAAAACTTGAGGTCATTGATTCAGCTGTGTAAAAATATAAGCTGTGAAAAGTGGGCCGCTCGTTCTCCTCCACTCACAGATCGAGCAGCGAACAGCCTGCGTCCTCTAGCCTCTACAGCGCTGCTTAACACTAGGGCTTCGACCTCAAAATTATAATTAAAAAAATATAATTCTAAAATTAAAAATATATAAATATTTGAACAAATATTAGACAGCCCTTATAATTTGAAATGTATTCAATGACTGAAAATAAAATAGTTAGCTCCCAAAGGTTTCACCGGGACGTGCTAGGCAGGTAACAGCTAAGCTAGCTAGCTCCCTGGAACTAACCTACATGTTAATGGTTACTTCCGGGTTTTTCGCGGATTGGATCATTGTATTGTCCGATTAACATTTAATGGTGTTGATTGATAGATATGTAGTTGTTTATTGAGCGTGGCTAGCTCAGCTAGCTCCGCTAGCTTCTCTCGTTGTACTTGCAGAGTAATGGCAGTATTTTACACAACTGAATTACAAAGGTTATCACGAACAAATTATCGGTAGAATTACATTCAAGTCAATGGAGTGTTCTACTGCTGCTGTGAGGAGCTGTATAATAAATTAAATTAAATATTAGAATATATTCTAATTTTAAATGTTTAAATGAATACATTGGGATGCGAAACTAGAGGTATTATTTTACTTATATATTGTGTTAGCAGTGCATTGCTTTAGTACCATTTCATCAGTGATTGTTGCACAGCTTACAAGAAGTTGCACTTATGCTAATGTTAGCATACACATCAGATGGCAAATTGAACTAGGTGGCTCTGTGTTATGAGAGTGTAACACCCACAATGTAATTCCCCCATCATTTATCCATATTTTTATCATTATTGTACGTATTATATTAGCCCTTTTTGCTGATTGGCCCTAAGCACAACATCAGGAAGTTAAACGTCCCGGTTGCCCAGGTAACTGTCTGCTCCGCCCCCTCCTCCACTCTCACTGTGTGCTGTGGCAGCTGGCGCTAGGCTACAAACAAAGTGGCTACAACCTGACGTTGTTTTCCCTAATCAGACCACTCCTTGAACTAGGTGGCTCTGTGTTATGAGAGCGTAGGGGAAATGAGAAGCCATTGAGCGAGTTGGGGGGGGCAGTGCTAAACATTCAAACCTTGCAGAAACGGGTATAGCGCCTGGTCAAATCATCTACATGCTTTGTGGTTGGCCTTTTGAAAGGATTTGCTCAAGAAAGGGTGTAACCTTATCTTTGTTTCACTAAAATAGAGCAGGCTTTTTAGAAAGGTAACTGCCAATTGTATGTTTTTCAAATATTTTTTCTAATGCCACATATGTGTTTTTGCAAATGAATAATGTACAGTATGTATTTATTGGAAATTCTTCATCACAATCCACTGCACTACAGCCACCACATGAACCAGAGAGGATATTCAAGTCGTTTAAATAAAAAAAGTTGGCTGTTGTTGTTACAAAAGCAGCATTGAACTTGAAAAATCTGCAGCGCAAACTAAAGTACCTTATTTATAGCGAAAGCCATGATGATGTCGGACTCTTTGTGGATGATCTTAGCCTTGCCTCCGGGATAACCCAGATCAGCCTCCACCTAAAAACCAGACAAAGCAATGGATTATGCAACAGCCTCCAACAGCATGGCGTTGGAATCACAGCAGAAAGGTTATTTATTATATCCCAAGAGATACATGGAGAAAAACCGGGTTAGTGTCAGTTGTTTCATGTTTATTATGAACTAGTCCCAGGTTTAGTGAGTTAAATTATTTCATTGAAAAAGGGAGATACTCTAAAATTCAAAAGTGTAGCTGTAGCGGTTGTCTCATTACACTGCCCCCTATTGGATAAGCAGAGCCCTGGCAGGGAGCATGCAGTTAGTTCAATGCACAAGGGACCAAAACATTATGACCAGTAAAGTAAACAATTCTACAGACATATACTGTGACACAGATTTAAACATTACTGAATCACTTATTAAACCGATTTCTCTTTTCATTTTTGAATGATAAAAAATGCAAGAATCTTTGTTTACTATTTCCCACAAGTAGGATGACCAGATACGTAGTGGTCATAATGTAATGGTTATTAGTTCTTATGCAAGACGTTGGGTCAAACCATGGGTAAAACATCGGGAAGTAAATCAGATTTTCAGATTAACAAAGCGTTGATTTTCATGATTAATTCATAAAAGGAGTACATCAGGTTTGTGAGGAGATCTTTGTAATCTTACTTTGTGTATGAGTGGTCAGTGTAAAAGAGGCCACTCATTCATACTGCACCAAACCTGTTATTATGTGTTTTACGTACAAACCATACACAGCTTCAAAATGGGGTTGTCAAAGAATTGAAAATCAGGCAGCAATAAGAAAATCTATTTTAACAGGGCATAATAATATCCAGTTTTGCTTTTTAAGATTTGGATCCATGTATTTTTGGAATAATCAGGGGTAAAGATAATGGTATTAGGGATTGAGTCATTTTAATTAAATGTGATAAAAACAAGATTACAATCTTTGTCCTATGTACTATGCATGTTTTCGGCCAATAGGTCCGCCCTCTTCACAACAGCTGGACTTTACATTTCCTGTGTTGGAACTGTTTGATTCTCTAATCTCTTAAAAGGCGACTGCTGATGTCTTGCTGCTAGGTGAACTGAATTATTATTAGTTACCTAATGTAACTGTAGTTCTACGAATAGGTGCGTAGCCTAATACTTTCAAAGATTTCAAACTTAGATCTTGGCTTCATTCCACACTGAAAGTAAATCTCCTCCAAACCTGATTGTGTGACAGAGAGTGAGGCAGACAGAGCAGGGCTGAAGGATACTACCTTTTTGGGACTGCTAGCTCCAGCTATGCAGTTGGGTTTTACATGGTCCATATCTACAGACTACACACAACACAGGCAACACAAACAACACAACACAACACAAACCACATGCACAAACAGAGAAACAAAATAAAGATGGGATGAAAGAAACAAAGTGGTCGACAAGGATCTTTGATGTCATGTTCAAATATTCACATGCTAACTCCCATGTGGCATCATTAACATGGCAGAGTGAGTCCAATATGGTGGCCTGGCTTTGAAGTTTTCTACTTTTCACTTCAAGCCGTGCAGACAGCTATCGTGCTGTGGATGAGCTGATTAAGTACAGTTTGGAGGATTATTATGATGTTGTGATTACGCTATTACACGGTGTTCCCACTTCCAGACATCAAAGAAAAAGCTAAGATTGATAAGGAGCGCGGTGAAGTCAAAACACTGCAGCTCCGGGAGATTACGCAGCCAAAGACAGCTACATCTATTTCATGTTCAAACTTTACCTTGGGAGATTTTATTCTATATCGTCTATATCCGCAGTTCTCAAACCTTTCACATAAACTGTCCCATGGGAAAACTTTTGCTCAAGGAATGTATATGTAGACTTCTTAAGACTGCTGAAAAGTGATTCTTGTTCTCATAATATGCAGCGATAAAATACAATCTTCATAGTGTAATGCCCGTTTCTCTCACATTAAAGCTGGGATACATAACCACAACTTTCAAATCACAAAAACAGGACTGTGTAATAAAAAAAAGTTTCAAAGTTCAAAGTGCTTGTGACTCACAGAGCTCTTTCTTACAAGCACGCAAACGATATATTGTTTTCAGATTTAACTTGACTTGATTTACAAAGCAGGAATAACACAACAATGAATGGATGACATTATTTTGTTAAATCATTAGCACTATATTTTCTAATAACTATTCACAATATTATTTCACATTGTGACATCCCTAATATAGGCCAGTTATATATGTGCACATATTCTGGAAATATCTATTTGGATGTTCCAAATTTACATTCCCAAATAATTAATACGTATTTGTGATGGGGACATTTCAGTTAAATCAATGTTTAACTGAATTGACCCCACCTAAACTGTCTTTGATAACAGCTCAAAAACGGTTTCATACTTAGCTTTTTTGGACCCGCTGATACGCTTCACATGTCATTATTCATTCACTCTATACACAGTGGTGATAAACTACTACTGTAGCCACAGTTGCCCTGGGGCACACTGACAGAAGGGAGGCAATCAGTATGTGCTATCGGCCCCTACGACCACTACCAACCTTTTACACATAGACCAGACTCATTCTAGGCAATGTGGGTGAAGCTGCTGCGACACCACTGTGGCACCTGGAGTTCCCAGAGGTCCCCCATCACAGTACTGACCAAGCCCTGTCCTGCTTAGCTTCCGAGGCAATAATTCCAAGCGAATACAATACAATAAACATGAATTGACAGATTCAGTTTTTTCTATCCTTAAATGTCCCTATTTTGAAGACATTTTAACATTATAAACTACTTCAGTGCACATTTTAATAAATGATTGTAGCTATTAGTAGAATGTATACATTTTTTTGTGCGTTTTTCCCCCAAAATATTTTGCCTTGAAAGAGGGTGCTCTCATGATGTGTGCAGTATACATGCGGGCCAATGTGGGTCGGGTCAAGTCAAGGCCGATGAGTGCAGGGGACCTACCTCGCACTGCTTCCTCTTTTTAGTGAAAATGTATCGGATCAACGTTTCCTGGAGCACTTCCTGTTTGACCAGGAAGTGCCACAGACGCCGCGCTGGGAAAGACTGGTGGTTCTTTGTTCTGTTAAAAAAACAGAGATAAGAATAAAAAAATATGATAAACTGAATTCACTATTTGTGCCATGGATGGAGGAAATGTGAGTGTGTTTTTCCAAAACGAAAAGCAAGACTAGTGTTTTGTGTGTCCAGTCTCCAAGTTCAAGTTAGTTTTAAAATAAAAATCCACTTTAATTTGTTTTTAAATTTTTTTTGGATTTCTTTTCATTTCTTTAGATCATCTTTTACACAGACAACCAGCCTCACTCAGCCAATCAGCTTTCAGCCAAAAGTGTCAAAAAGTGTTTTCTTCTTATCGGGACAAACAACACGTATAATTTGTGAAAAAATAAAATAGACAATTAGACACCCCATAACTGTCACCCCCTGAACTGCTGAGTCTGTACATATGTCATTCAACTGTAAATAATAAATACTGCAAGTGCAATGTGACAAAAAACATCTCAATTGGAGATATCAAAGTGGCAGTGGTTCAGCTGTAGTTTCAGAAAATCTTGTGTGACTCACTTGAACGGAGTGTTGTCCGGCTCCAGCATAGCCTTGTGGCGGAGGATGGCGGGGCCGCCTCCTGCGCTCAGGTCGGTGGGGTAAGTGTTGATGTAGTTGGGAGGAGGACCGTCAAACCTGTTGATCCGCTCCAAAAGTAACTGCTCCCAGTTCTCGAGCGTCTTCACCACAGCGTTACACAGAGGAGACGACACGGGCAGATCTGTCATAAGAGTGTTAATCACATAAGATCAGACAATGATGGAGAAATGTCAGTGTGATGCACAGTTCAAGGACAGTTTGAGAATATGGACTTGAAAACAGAATAAATATACTTAAATCTTGATAATCTTTGGCTTTAGTAGTGAAACACACCCATCTAGTGGCAGGTAATAACGGGAACATGAAATATGTAGCGGTGTAATTAAAGTCTTGTGAACTCGCACCAAACAAGCCAAAGTACTGTGCCATGTTGGTGCCATGTGAACAAACTCAGAATCTGAGGAGCACAGGGACTGGCCTCCTGCCTGCGCCCAGGAGACATTTATTAGTTCATACACAAGGCAAATAAATTACCATAGTAAATTAATAAGATACAATCCTTCTGTTGTATGCACAGCTAGCAAACTGTTTTTAATCTGAAATTGAACATTTTCAAAGAAGCCTGTTCTCCATTTTTGGAAGATTGTTGCAGATTTAAGCAGATGCCTCCTCATGTTTAGGCCTGACTCTGGGCACCAGCAGGAGGCCAGTCCCTGTGCTCCTCAGAGTCCGAGCTGGTTCAATGGCACTAACATTTCACAGATGTACTTTGATGCGAGCAGTATTGGGAGTAATGTATAACAAAAGTAATGTAAAGACTGTAATGTATTGCATTCCAAAAAAAAAAAAAAAAAGTAATATAATTGCTTGGTTGCATTTTAACCTGAAATCAAAGTGTTTTGTTTTTTACTGTACCACCGCGAGATCAGCAGAAGAGAAAAACATCTGCGTGCCTCCCTCTAAGTTTATATGGCACTAACATGTACTGTACATGGCATTTAATACAGCTGGTACTTCACAAATATATTCACGATGGGCTCAAACCTGTGAACTCGAGGCCGGCGAGAGGAAGGAAGTTCTTGACGTTGTGATATGCCAGCTTGATCATCACCAGACGAATCAGAGCCCAGCTACGAACATTCAAGAAGACCACCATGAAACGATACAGTCAACACTTTGGAATTGACAGAGAAAAGTGACAAGAATCTGCGCCTCCCAGTTTGCAACCAAATAACGTCAGGTTTTCAATATAGAGTTGATGTTAGCACCTGTATGAGTTGGGGTCGAGGTGCTCTGTCATCTGAGTGTCCGACAGAAATGCGTCGTCGTCGTCTTCATCGTCTTCAGCTCCACTTTCGTCAGAGTCATACAGAGCGCTGTTGTCCTGGAGCGGCAGGAACGGCTGAGGACCAGATGAGAAGAGGCGTTACATACAAACACTGTTGGTGTGAATGGCTTGCTATAGTTCAGTTCCATTCAGAAAAAAACAGCTCCAAGACCTCTGGAAATATTGAATAGATAGATACTTTATTGATCGTGGTACAAAATCCCCTCACTCATTCCTTGGTCCCGCCCACTGCTCTGCCTCAGACCCCATCTTTGTGTCTCACCTGTCCACTGAGCTTCACCAGAGAGATTAATTACAGCAGTTCCTGAGACTGGCATGGTGGAGCTCCTTCCGTCCTTCAGCATCACTAAATACCAGAGATGTCAAACTGGTCCTCAAAGGGCCAGTGTGGCTGCAGGTTTTAGTTCCAACCTGACCAGGAGAACACCAGACTCCCCCCATTGCCTCAGGTGAGACCAGTTTTCATCTTAAGATTTGAGGAAATGGGTGCAGTCTGGTCTAACCATGCCCTTACTGAATCTGGATTGTGATGGAGTCAGCAAAAGTAACATCCTACCCTGTAACTAACTAAAGAGCACTTTAACTTGATTGACTTGAAGTTTCTTGAATTAAAATGTGAAAAAGTATAAGGTCTTACTTTAGCCACAAAGTAATCCCACATGCTGAGTTCCGGAGGGATGAACTTCTCCCTGTAGGCGGGTCTTTCCACGGGCACTGGAGGAGGCGTGGCTGGCGTCTCTTTGACCGGACGTCCCGGGACCAGCATCATCATGTTGAACCTCCGCCTGTATCTGTCCGCGTCCTCCGCCGGCGGCTGAGGCACCACTGAAATGAGGCCCATAAGAACATGACAAACAGCCCCATTCTCCACCACTCAGACTCAAGATGCTGGGTATTAGATGCACAGTCCTTAGTGTTATTTTGAGCTGAAATGAGTTGAGAAAATGGTTCTTTTTAAAGGTGAAGGCATCCAGAGCGCACACAGCAAAAAGGGATCTGCAACAGAGCTGTTTAAAACCAGAGACAGATGAAGTTTTGGACTAACAAACTGTGGCGTCATTCAAAGGGGGAGCAGAAAACATATTTTGAAAAGTTATAGTTTGGGTGAAACTTGGTAACTTTTCAGCATTTGCACTCGACGTCGGAGTGGAAATGTACTTTCAGAGAACATATGGTACTTGAACAGTATCCATATAGTTCCAATGTGCACGGAGTGTAACAGCACTTATGGATATCTTGCTTTAAAGATGAAAGAGTTTGAAGCAAGCAGGAATATTAGTAAGGAGGTGGGTGGTTTTTCTGCTATAAAACACAAAAGAAAAAGGGGATATACATTTTTTTCTGTTTTGTTTTTCTGGCAACTACGTACAATTTAGCCAACTCATACTTAACTATTATACACATGGACAACTATCAGGTCAATATGCTAATTCAATGTTTGTGTATTATACTGTAGCTTAACCAAAATTAGGACTAATATAGACATTAATTAGCAGTGGCCAGTAAAAATATGCCTTACATTTTCTTCTGTAACTAGAGAAATGATTCAGAACCATGGCCCCATTTTAGGCATGGAATGGCTGGAATTTCAGATTACATTTGCTAAAATAAACTATTCTATTCTATTGCTTCTAAAGGGCTTCACAGACAGCCACTAGTTTCTCAGTCCACGGTTCATTTACTGTCTTTGATTGAAATGTTTTAAAGTGAATATATACATTTTTTAACACGGATTCAGCAGCACACACAGAATTGTATCAGTCCACTCAGGAGAAACATTGAACATTCAGGCTGAGGACACAAGGCAATGAGCACAAACCTGCCCCATTGTCCCATTGGGAGCCTATCTCTGCCACTGCACCAGACAAAACACACACAGCACAGTTAGACAGACACCAGACACAGACATGGTGTAAATACAAACAACAACATAAACAGGGAGACGTCCGACAATGACAGCACGTGTGGTCCCTGCTATAAGCGCTGGGCAGACCGTTCCAAATTACACTGGGTTCAAATCTCTTCAATCATTTTTTAGATTTTTAGCTTGTACATTTGATTGGTGTGTTATGGCAAAAAAAATCCTTAAGCCCTAGTTTATGTAGTACACATGGTTTTAATATTAAACAAATCATTGGGGGTTGTATAGTAAAAGGGTTTGGTTTTATGATGAGCAAGAATTTGGGAAACGATGTGTGAGGTTGAGATAATTTTGCACTAGGTTAAAATAAAAATGGTTACTCTTACAACAAAAATGATCAGTCTGTTTTTATTACTAAGACAACTCTGTTCCTAAGGATATCTATGGAAATCAGTTTATTTTCTTCTTCTTTTTGTGCTATTTGCCAGGACTTTTTATTCATTTTGTTTTATCAGCTGAACCCTTTTGAACCCATAATATTTGAGCCTTAAACATAATCTTGAATTATAAAGTGTGCATAATATTATAAAACGTTGAAGCAATCTATACCACCAAACTAAATCTAAAATGGTGAAACAAAACAACAAAAGCCAGCTCCGATATTGTTTTCCGCAGTTCTCCAAATGGCGTTGACTCTAATGGCTGTAGTCCACAGGGGAAGTGGGAGGCGGCAGTTATAAAGGCTGCCTGCGTATGGATCTCTTGTTGGGGGTAAATTAAATTCACTGGGTGTGCGCAGCTTGAAAAGGGCAGGGTTTAGCATTTGCCAAAGTGATTTCTCTCAACGGGGTGACATTTACTGTAGCTCCACTCGCTTTTCAAAAGGCTCTCAAGTCGTTTTCAGAGGCCGTGCGCAAGGAGATAACAGCGCCTACCGCGAATATGGATTTAACAAGGTCCGGTTTAGTCATTCTAGAGGCATCCAGAGACTTGGAAATATGACGACTGCGAAGTGTCTCATTTTGATGGTATATTATCATAGTAATATAGTGATTTAAGGCTTAGAAGGCGAAAAAGTTTTTTTTTTTAGGTTTTTTATTTAAGACATAGCTAGTTTGCAAGAATTAGTAGCCCAATTGATTCAGTGAGGGCCACTGAAATGAGGGTCCTTTTATAAGTTTGAATGGATCCTATATACATTTATACATTTCTTTTGTAAGTCAATTAGTTAGCTGAATGATCTTTCAATTAATCGATTAGTTGTTTCCATCCCAAGTGGTCGAAAGAACTAAAGACATTTAAGGGCATTTATGAACTGTGGTTACTCCTATGGACCAATGGCTCCTGTGTGTTTGTTATTCTTGCATTTCCTGTGTTATTCTCTGATCTGTAGTTGAAGAATCAAGTCCTGTGAGACAACTGCTAGTGTGATTTAGGGCTATACAAAATGATTAGCGAGTCAGTATATATGACCATTTAAAATCATGTAATTTAGAAATATATTCATGATTTAAGCAGTTCGACAAGTACAATATTTTGATTTGAAACTGTCTTGTTAGACAGGAAAATCCCAATGACATTCAAGGATCTCCTACTAAAGGTTGTCTTAATCCTCAGCAAAACCCAAAGACAATAATGTTACATACAGATTAGTTATAAAACAATGGCAGGCAGTGGTTGTGTTTCCAACCAATTTCTTAGAGTTTGGATGTAACCAAAACAAGAGCATATTTGTGTATTTCTAGAAATTAAAATTTGTCTGTGCAGAGTAAACATGACGTTTGTTAGTAATATATGATAGTTAATCTACAAAAGGGATTACAAGGTCAACATGAGATTACTAGATAGAGAAAATTTTACAGATTCAGTTGTGCTTGAAAGTTTGAACCCACTATAATGTTGTTGTTTATGGCCATATTTTGAAGATCCTTAATTATAAAGGATCAATATATATATTGTTGTGTGTAGCCGTCCATTGTCTAATAAGTGTGCTCTCTATTCTCAAAAGTGTGGCTGATTCCTTTTTCCAAGAAGAACGGGCAGCTTTAGGATCAGAGAGGATAAAGAATCTCATCCATAATAGAGCTGGGTATCTTTCAGAGTCTGCTGATACCATGTGTATCTCCATACAGGGGGCCTTCAACTCGATACTATATATTTCCAAACAATATGATATGGTTTGATAAAAAAAAGGTTTTTGGTCCCTCATCTAACGTTTGAACAAATATAAATACTATTAATTAATTTATATTTAAATTATTAAAGACTAAACATATATATTTCTTGTATATGGATAAAAATGAAAAGAAAAGATTTAATTGAAAAAATTATGTTCAAAAAAAATATATATATTTTATAGTTATTATATCATTTTTTATATTGTATTTATTTTTTATTAAATGTATACAAATTGGACATGCCTATCCACAACTAACACATAGGACTCCAATCAAGGGAAACACTGGGGGATGGAGACTTCTGATCAGGGTCTGAAGAGGAGCTTTTGTCTTTATAATTTGAAAATAGAATACATATTTATCTTACAATCACTAACAATGAGTGAACAATGGCTTAGTGTTATCATTCATAATCTTCTAAATATGTCCAAATAACCCAAACTTTCACCCAGGGGGTGCAAGCTTTAAAGCACAACTGTATATGTTTGTATAGGTTACAGCATATAGTATAGGTTTTACAAATTGGATCTATTGTCAGTCGGTTATCAGTAAGTTTCACATTACAGCTACTGCACAGGGGAGAGTGGGTCACATGGGTCTTTTTCGGTCACCTGGCTGACTCCCTGACTCACAGCTAGTGTCCGGGCCGCTCTCCTTGGGACACTCCGTGATGGGGGCAGCTGTTTGATGCATGAGGACACAGACATGAACATAAAGGACGTCACAACACCACATGCAGCACACCCACTCTGACGCAAAACACCACTGCTGCGAGAAAAAAAACACTCGAGAAATGTCGCCAAAAACCAGGGTTCCCGTGTTGTCCGTGTTAAGATAACCCAGAAAGTATGAGACCAATCTGTCTGAAAAACTGATCCAAACATGTTAAAGAAGCCCCACCATATATATGTGAAATCTAGAGAGAGAGAGAGAGGAACTATTTACATGGATTATATAATTAGGTCAATGTTTTGTGCTTCTAAAGTTAGGTACCGCTGTACACATATTTGTTTTAATATTAACACTAATCATTAATCCTCAAGCTTCAAAACAGGCAATTGTTTTTATAGCAGTGACCCCAAAGTAGGAGAAACCACAACATCAAAAGTGAGAAGATAACGATTGATTCAAAAGATTTAAGTTTTTCCCCTCTGGACTGACAGGAACCCTGGTCGCCCCGATAAACACCCACATTATTCATGACTGGCATTCAGCGGTAGCGGCACCAAAGATTCAAAGGATCAGACCAGGCATCCGCATCGCTGCAATCCTGCACAAATACCATGCTTCAAACCAGCACTGCAATCCACCAGCTGCTTTACTCACTGCTGGCTCTAGGTGGCGCCACAGAGCTCGCCCCCTCGACTTTCAAAACAGGAGGGGGGGGTCTTTTGGGGCGCTCAGAGGGGGAGGGAGGGGGGATAGGGTTGATGCTGGGTGAATTCTCCTGTCTCTCCTCTGCCTTTGCTGGCTCAAAATCTGCCGACACTGGGACACAGGGTGAGAGGGCACACTCACACAAAACACTGGACACGGCTAGAGGCTAAAGACGACCCAGAAGGAGAGGAGAAGGTAGAGGAGAGGGCAACAAAGCACTGTCGAGATTATGTGGATTAGAAAAGCCTGTTGATTTGATTAATTCTATCAAAAACAAACATTATTAAACTTTGAAAGTTGTATGTATCAGTCAATGTATACAGTTGCTTAGAAATGTATATTGTGTTGTCACTAGATTAGTTATTTATCTAACCCAGGGGTGTCAAACCGGTTCCAGAAAGGGCCGGTGTGGCTTAAGGTTTTAGTTTCAACCTTAGCAGGAGTACACCAAACTCCACCCATTTAAGATAAGAATTCCTTTATTCGTCCCACAGTGGGGAAATTTCGACACAGGTGAGTCAAGTTTTAACCTGAAGATTGGAGGAAAAGGGTGGAGAAAATGGGTTGTGTGCTCCTGCAGCCACACCGGTCCTTTTGACGACCGGTTTGACACCCCTTACCAGGTCCACTGATATTGCAGACTTTTTTTTTCAGGGTCCTGGCCCCAGAAAGAGGGGGGGGTGTTATGGGGGACTATTGTTCATGTTTTAGTGGTAGAGGAAACCTATGCAGACATGGGGAGAACATGCAAACTACCCACAGAAAGGCATAGCGGCATAATCGAACCCTTGACCTTTCTTGCTCTGAAGCACAAGCGCTAACCACTGCGCCACTGTTAATAGTTATAAAGCCAATGAAATCGTACTAACCAACTCCTGCTAACAAACGTAACAGAAGGTGAGACCGTAGACATTGTATATATAGTAGAATTCAACCAGAAAACATGTCCTCCCATATTTAGAATTTGGGTGCATTCACTCTTGGTGATCTGGGAAAAAATGCTACACAGATCTGTTTCCAAAGATGAAAACTTAGCTGATTTAAAGAAGAAATATTGGGGGGGATTTGGTTCATTTTCAGTTCATTTTCATGCTTAAAGATGTGAAATAACATCTTCAGTAGAAAATATATGGTGAAACAAATATCCCTATGCTACCAGAGAGGAAGAGATGTTCTTTTATACATTTGAAGATTTCCGGCTGCAAACACAGTTGTTAAGAACGTCATTTTCATTTGCAAAGTCCTGTATCTATTTTATTTATACTTTGTTACTTTGTTTGCGTTTACTTGGGAAACGCCTCCTGCTGGTAAAAAAGTGAATCGGCTCGTACCTGGTGGAGCTTCTGGCCTCTTTGGTCTGATGATGACCTTGGCCCCGCCCCCGAACACAGCGGCCCACATGCGGTAGTTGAGGGGGTGGGCTCCGAGGCGGAACAGCTCGTTGCAGTTGTGGGTCCCCAGGCCGTGGATGAGCAGCGCCAGGTAGACCGCCACCACGGCTTCGCACAGGAGCACGTTGAGGCGCGGCTGGTCCTCCTCACGGGTCGACGCGAGCAGAGAGATGAGGGAGGACACACCTGCAACAAGATGGTGAGGAAATACAGCGGGAGTTTAGACGTTTAAATAAGATTGAATTTATTAGATATACTTTTAAAAGTTGTTAACCAGGTTATAGTAAATGTTTCACTTATCATTTACACATGGATTCATACATTGAATTATTACACAGTACAGTACAGTTATGTTATGATACATAAATATACTGTACTATACTATTGAATAAGTCATAAACATCTCAGCTACGATCTCCTGGACTATGTTTTCTTCCACTTTATCCGGTGCTGGATCAAAGAAGTAATTTCATTAAAGTCACCAAAGACAGACTTTGCCCTTAAAAATATGTTTTGATTTTACGCTCAATATTCAAATTTAAAAACTATTTTTAATTTGTTTCCCCCAATACGTATTATAAAAGTTTTGTACAGATTGTGCTGATATTGCAAGTATAATTTGTGTGCTGCTGATTTTCACATTTTTCACAAATTTAATTTATTCAAAAGCCGATTAATTGCCTACTTTCAGTTTATTGCCCAGCCCTACATTGAGGGGGCCTCAACTGTGCCCTGGCTGACCCCCCTGACTGACCAATGGAGTGTGACATGTGGGTGACATCACAACTGATGCCTCCTGAAGACTCGATCCTCTCTCTCTAAAGTATCTCTTTCTCCCTCTCTACCATTTGTCTTTGTGTGTATGTATGGTTTATTTCCTAGCATCTATTTGGTTTGTGCTTAATATATCAGTTGTCCAGGTCATGTCTCAAGAATGTAATTTAAAAGACTGTGTAAGGTTTTATCGATTATGTATCAGATTTTGTGAGACGTTTTCCAACTCTGCTACCATGTGACTAAACTGGAGTCCGACAGAGGTCCATGGAGAGTTGAGCACAGAGCAGCGTGGTGTTTGGGCTGTTTCCCAGAGGCTCTGAGTCTCCTTTTATAGCTCACCATCTGTCTCTGCTCCTCTCTCCACTCCCTCTTGTATCAGGGATTTAAAGCTCTCACACATGTCACTGTACTTCCCTCTTCCTGCAATTAGGATTAGGAAACGCTGGCTTTTACAAGACTGAATTTGCTCTGAAAACGGAAGACTTTGGTTGCCTTTTCAGGAATGTCACAATAATATTTCCTATTGAAGCCTAATAGTAGCAATGTAATGTTTTTTATTCATGTATATTCGTATTAAAAAAGGCCAGTTCCAGCATCCAAACTATATGTTCTATAGTTGGATGTTAAAATGTTTTGAAGTAGAGTGAATATGTAACATTTCTAGGATGTTATTTTTAGCAACATTATAACAAATACAGGCTTGATATATCTCACTTTATGTGTAACAAGCCACATAATAGTTTCACATTGTAAGTTGAAAAACAGTAAATGGACTTTTGAACCATATTCTAATTCTCACCCGTATTGGGGCTATTGAAACGGTTGTCAAGTCATTTAGTGGCTCATTACTCGTTTATTGAACATTCCATAGACTTGAAAATGCTGAGAAGAGGTGAAAGGAATAAAATGAAAGTAAATTGAATCCAACCCTAGTTAAGTCATTGCTATACAGATGTTCTCCAGAAATATCACTGGAGCTTTAATATGGTAAAAATAAAATGAAAAAATAAATTGAAGGTTGTGTCCAAACTTTTTTTTCAGAGGAACACTTGTCAAACAAAGTCAATGGCAGAATTGGGAAGTTTTACAGTGAGGTATAGCATGTCTGTATTGCTGGAGATTAAGTTGGCTTGATGACACAGAATGTATGTCTGTGATTGCAATGGCTAATTTTATGTTAGCAGACCAGAGGGCCACAGGAAATGACACAGAGGTTCCTCGCAATAGGCCGCCGGTCCTTAATCTTGACATGGCTGGATTAAACAAATGATTAATCGGCCAACTAACTACAGCCCTACAACTTATTGAAAATGTGTAACCACAACTATATGCAGCAGCGAGAGTCATACATACAATATGAAAAATGTTCTCTAAACCTATAGTTGTATGGGCAGGACAGTGCTCTCATTACCTGGCCACTGGGCTGGAGCCGAGTTGGGTGTGATGTGCTCCTCGATACTCTCTGTTCGGAGCCGCTTCCTCTCGCTCAGTAACAGGCCCTGGTACACCATCCCCGTAAACTGATTGGTCTCCGTCTGGCTGCTTTCAAGACGCACACAAACAAACCCGTGACTCACCGCCCTTTGTTCTAATATTATTGCAGCACACGGAAGGCTGAAACAAAGTGCTGCGCTGACAGACAGGCTGATATGATCAAATGAATAAATGACGGGAGAGATTACCTGTAACTGTGGCTGTCGCACAAGGCCTGATAGATGCAGGCTGACAGAGAGGCGGCCAGAGTGTGCAGGGCGGACACCTAAAGAAACGAGGACAAATTCTTTAAACTAATAGAAATAACATCAGACTTTAATCACAGCAGCAGAGTCTGGCATTATCAAGGATGGAACATTACAAAGGAACTACAAAAGAGACGTCGATAACAAGATGCCGCTGCCAAAATTCTGTATAGCACTATTTTCTAAAATCTTTGATTCCCTTCCCATCTGGGAGCCTCAGTCCTCAGTCTATAGCCTGACTCCTGAATCGACTGCCTGTGCATCCATAGGAGCAGATCCCTCTCTCAATATGGTCCTTCTCGAGGTTTCTCACTTTTTTCCCACGGTTTTATTTTTTGAGTCGTTCCTTGCCGATGCAGGAGGGTCTAAGGACAGTGATGATCCAGAACTTTAATGGACATTTTTGGACATTAACATTTATGGACAGTGGTCATCCCGCTCCCTGTGGACCAATGGCTCATATGTGTTATTGTACTTCCTATGTTCAGACAGTTTAATTCTCTGATCATCCGAGACGACTGCTGTTGGGATTTAGGTATATACACAAATAAAAACTAAATTGAATGGAGTCTATATCATATATTATTTTCACATTTTAAATTGGATTACAGAAATAAATATAGTTCTGACAACAGCAACAACAGTACGTTTGGTCTGAGCAGTGGACTGACCCGGTCTTCGAACACGTTGGGGTGTGGGGGCGTCTTCATGTGGGTGATGGTGTGGAGCACGTCGTGGATGTGGTTGCTCAGGTGGAGGACCGGGTTTGCGATGACAGTTTTAGTGGGAGCGATGCAGGCCGAGAGCAGAGGCAGCGTGGTGGGCAGAGGGAGCGGAGACTGCAGCTGCTTCACCGTCGTCTCCTACAACACACAGGCTGCTGCTTCACTGCATTCATCAACATTCCTTGATCTTGTATGATTTTGACCAGTTTTAGGTACAGCGTATGATTTCATTTCATGTATTGATTTATTTCAAACATGCACAAGATATACCGACAATTATTCACAGAAAAATAGAATCAAAATAATAATAAACAACCAAAAACACCTGTACATAGTGGGAAAAGGTAGGTAAGTAAGTAAGTAATCTTTATTTATATACCGCCTTTTCAAAAGGGATTAAATGAAGGGAAAAAGCTTATATTAATCCAATCCCCTCAGACACACTACAATACAAAAACAAGAAGCAACAAACACACACACACACACTCACACACCTCTCTCCTCACTCAGAGCCCATCACTCGCCTACTTTCAGATATTTATTTGAGTTATATATACATATTTTTTTGTTTTTGTTTTTTTACTTTAATCAAAGTTAAACAAGTTTTCATTTCATTATTATTATTTATATGAACTAAACCATAAGAAACCACAAGAAAGATTATGTTAGACCCTCCATACAATCTCGTGTTTGCGTGTGTTAGCACTGCTGTTGTGATTTAGAGCTGAACAAAAAACAAATTTATTGAAGAGAAATTCCACATTTTGGTGAAAAAACAGGAGGGCACATGTTTTACTGAGATTGCCTTAAATATGATGCAGTTAAACAAGTTGCCAATTATTGTTTTACCAGATACTATTTACTTTAAATTTAATAAATGGGAAATTGATAAATATGAGATCAATGTGAGGTAATCCAGATTGCCCAGCCCTTATCTCAAATCTTTGTAACAACTCTAAAATTGTGCTGTTGTGAGACGTTACTCATTGTACCTGCTGACTCTCCTGCAGCAGGAACAGCAGCTCCATGCGCACAGACGTCACCCCTCCCCCTTTGGCTCCGTGCAGGCTGCAGTAGGACAGGAAGACTCGGAGCAGGGCTTGGTTCTTCCTCAGCCAGGCCTTCCGTCTCTCTGAGTGCTGCTGCTTGGCCTGCAGACGCCTCCTCTCCATCTGGTGGCGCTCGTAAGGCCCTGTGTCCGAGCGCTCGAACACGTCGTCGGAGAGTTCGACGGACCCGGTGCGCTCCCCCCACTGCTCTGACTCGGACTCCTCCTCTTTCCCTTCAACCTGTGGATGAGAATGCTCTGTGACAATATGCTACAATATGCAATTTACAGGGAAAGAAAGCAAAATCACATCATTGGAACCAGACAAGATTTCTACAGGAGATAAAAATTAGGTCCACGAGCACGAGACAAGACGAGATTTTGCGATCATTTATATTGAGTACATTTATAAACATTTATGGTTTGATTCTCTAATCTGTTGTTGTTGTTGATATCTTCAATATATTCAACAGCTGTAATGTTGTTTTACCTAACTTTTATAGACAGAGGCCAAAAATACCAAAAACCAAATGTCTAAACTGGTAATAGAACAGTCTTATTGTAGGGTGAATAAACATGTTGAATTTTCCTGGAGATTGATCACACACAATAAAACAAAGTGAAAGTCCTATACCTTGTAGTTACAGATGGTGTGCATGGCAGCAATCTCCTTCTCCAGCCAATGGTAAAGCTGGAACCTGAGCTTCCCTCCGTCCACCTCAAAACCGGTGGCCAGTGTCCGCAGCTCTGTCATGAGGATTTTGAGACAAGCTCTGAACTTCAGCTGCTCTGCGATCACATCCACCTCAGATTCACCCTGCAGGAACGCATATGAGCAGTTAGGGCTGTAAGAAATTTTTTTATTCAACAATTATTATTATGAGCATTAAAATTGAGACACAAGAATCCTGCAAACGTCGTCCAAATCTCAGCAACAGCATTCCACAATCCATCCATTCATGTTCCTCCCCCTTATCCGTTGCCAGGTCTACTTTCAGACTTCCTTCTCCAAACACACTTCCTTCAGATCATTCCGAGGCGTCCCCAGACCAGCTGAGAGACATAGTCCGCCAATGTGCCCTGGGTCTTCCCCTGGTCTCCTCCAGGTGGGACATTCCCGTAACACCTCCTCAAGGAGACGTCCAGGAGGCATCCCAAACAGATTCCCAAGCCACATCAACTGGCTCACCATGACATGGAGAGCAGCGGCTCTACTTTGAGCTCTTCCTGTGTGACTGAGCTCCTCATCCTATCTCTAACCCAACCATACTGCGGAGGACCCTCAAGTGAGCCGCTTGTTTCCAAAAATCATGATTGATTATCTACTGTACTTATACACTGTTTGTGTATTTATACCTAATCTTTACAGTCTATGATGTATGTCCTGGGCCCCTCTCTTCTTGGTGTCAGTCCATCGTCTATGCCACGTATGTTCCTGTGTTGTTTTTATTTCTTATTGTAGTTATTGTTACCCTGGATTTGGTTTTTTTTCACTGAATTACACTTTGATTTCAGTCCAAGTTTTGGGTTCCTTGTTTCTTTTCACCTCATGACAGAAAATAAAGCATGATATCTCTCCTTTATCTCATTTTTTTAGGATGTAAAGATGGAACAATAGAACATCACTGCATCAGCTCTCTGTTCTTTCGTATCGACTCAGACAACATCCTGTTTGGGCTGAAAGATATGATAAGACAGCTTTTCTTCCTCCCACAGTGGAAAACATTAGAATTAATAGTCTGGGAGCAGTAAAATTCTAAAACAAATGTCAGTACAATGTCAAACTAAACAATAAGTGAGGCAATAGTGCAGTTTGTTGACATGATTACAGTTTCATATAATAAGACTTTACTTGCAGATAGTGAATGTAAATATCCCAATTTGTATATAAAGAAAGATGCTGTACTTGCAAACACATGTGGTTCTACTTCATTAATAAACAGGCAGTGTTTCAGATATAAGCAGCTAAAATCTGGACCAGTCTTCCTGAAAATGTGACACAGGCTTCTACTCTGACAATGTTCAAATCTGAGTTAAAGCAGTTCTGTTGGATTGTATCTTCACTCTTTTTTATATACTGTGATTATTTATGATTTTAATGTCTTGTGACTGTTTCTATGTGGTTTTGTAAAGCCCTTTGAGTTGCCTTGTGTATGAACTGTGCAATACAATTACACTTTTTTCGTTATTAAACCACTCTCATGATCAACAAACCTGAGAGTCTTCTCTCTGCAGTTTGGGACCACCACTGACAGAAGTTATGTTTTCCTCTGGCTTCTTCATGGCCAGACCTCCATCCTCATCATCCTCATCCTCCTCTTCGTCCTTGTTTTCCCCCCAGTCCAGCTGCAGCTCATCATCTGCTTTCACCACAGGTTGGCTCCAGTCCAGACCGGCTGCACTTTCGCTCCCTCCCCAGGCAGGAGCAGCTGGAGCACCCCAGTCGAGGCATCCTCCCTGGGTCCCGTTCTCCACAGGCTGGCTGGAGTTCAGAGCGGTCTTTGAAGATGTCTTGCTCAGGGGGGAGGAACCGGATTTCTTAACGGTGACTTTGGGGATTTTGGAAAGGACTTCAAGGGCGAGGACCGGACAGCCCACCTACGAAGATCAAGGTCATAATATAATATGGAGGATATTTCATGTATTGCATTGTTTGTAGCACACAATGACAAATTTACCAAACACAGTTGTCAAATAATGAATACAACCCTAAAAATACAAATAAGACAGATAAGATATAAAGAAGTAGCTTTTTTGTTCTACAGTCTGTCTGTCCATGTGACCAGATAGGGGGATCAATGGGGGCTTCCCTTTGTTTTCTCACTTTATTCCCACTGGGTTTTTGAGTCGTTCATTGTTGATGCAGGAGGGTCTGAGCTAAGAACAGTGATGATCCAGGATATTTAAGGACATTTGTGAATGTTGGTCATTCCGCTCCCAATTATCCAATGGCGCCTAGGTGTTTGTTATTATTGCCGTGACTCTACCTTGAAGTGGGCGTTGGCCGTGGTGAAGAACAGCTTGCGCTCGATCAGGTTGATCTCGTCCGCACTGCTCTTCTCTGCAGTGAGGCCCACCGTAGTCTGAGCGGTGCCTTCAGCGTAGTGCCGGCGGAGAATCAGCGGGTGTGTCCTCAGATAGTTGTAGAAGCTGAACACGACTGGGTTACAAGACTTCACCATCACATCTGAACAGACAAATGAGGGAACAAATAATTCTCAGCTAGGAATCTAGCTCACTCCAACCAAATCAAAATTTGCAGAAATTTGATCTCACTGGGAAGAAAGTATGTAATGTTTATCTATATAGTGCATTTTACAGACCAAGGTCACCCAAAGCGCTTTACAATGTTCAGAGTTCATATATTGTTGCAATCACTCCAAGCGAGACGCCGAACTGGTGGAAAATACCAGCATTCTTGGAGATTTTTTGTTGTTGATTTCTTGTTATATACTTTATATATTGCAATAAAAAGTTGGCAGCAAGTTTGGTCTTATCAAGTCATATATTTACAACAATTACAAAATTTGATATCACAATCACGGGTAAGCTGACGCTAATATTTCTACAACAATAAAAAGAATAGCTATCACTGGATTTTTTTAAATAATAAGTAAATTCAGTATCTATTCTTCTCAAATGTGAATACTTTTAGCCCTACGTTTTGCTCCATAAAATGCATCTATGAAATGTTTTATTGACCTGTAACTATTAACTTTGGACTGGTTTTATTTAAACTGTTATAACTGTTATACCAGTCTTTATAAAAAAATAATAAAAAAAAATATTTTTTTTCCTTTATAAAAGTCTTTGTAACTCCTGCGCCCGTACCTGGGTTCTCGTCTTCATCCTTGGGGATCCTCTCGAGCAACGTGTCCAGAGCCAGGGTGTAGTCCTTCATGATCCAGAAGGCGATACTGCGGAGGAAGGGGTCCGGGTGCAGGCGTGAGCAGTGGTACCCGTTCCCGTCCCGGTTACAACCCAGGACCTTCTCGTACAAGAGGCCTCGACACGTGGGGGACTTCTCGTAGTCCGCCTCGTAAAGTCTGGCTACGATCATGGCCAGCTGGATATCCTCCATTTTTTCCAACAAAACCTAAAGTAGGTATTATAATGAGCGCTGTTAATGATGTCAGAATGGGGAAAATGCAAACAAAGCACAATATTGATTTTGTGATTGTCAAGAAATTAATTTAATGGAGAATTTCAAAGGGTTTCTAAAATTGGTTAGAAGTAGGGCTGCGACATATTGTCAAAGTATCTAAAAATGGCAATATTTCTGATCAACATTGAGAATTTTGATATCCTGAATGTTTGAAAAATCTAATCTAAAACAATTGTAAAGCCAAATGCTGTACTGTTTTCCTATGACTTTTACTGCATTTTGCCATATCTTCATTTTTGCCACTGCAAACCCCCTTTCCTGTATGCAGACAAATACCCGACAGTGAGAGCAGTCTATCTCCAAAGTTAATGATGTGGTGATATGAACCCAGACACCCTAAAGAGAAAGTGTAATAAGAAAGTCCATTATCTTCCTCTCTGCTGTGAGGAAAATTGGAATATAGACACACAGAGAAATGACTACTCTCTCAGGGTATTGGGACACATAATGTAGGCCAAACAACTCAGAGGAAAAAATATTGCATTTGTCTGACTTGTTTTTGTTTCTGGTATGTTATTCTGTAAATTAAACTCACACTGACATTCACGAATCAGTTTACATACATTGAATGAGAGCCAGTTTAAATTAAACGTGTTTGTCCCAATGACTAAATATTAGGAGTGGACTGACAGGGCACGGACGTCACCATAGCGTTGGCCGAATGTGGAAGAAGCTGATTTGATGATACGCTTACACAGGGTGAAGTTCAATCCTACCTCAATGGCGTCTTTGAGTGATCCGGCGAGCAGGAAGAAGGCGGCGGACTGTTCGAAGCGCTGTTTACCCAAGAGAGAGAAGGCATTTTTCAGAGCCGCCTTCCTCCAGCGATCCTCAGTGAAGTTATTCTTAAAAAACTGAGTCATCTTTTCATCGTGCTGTGACCTGAGAACAGAGGGGCGGTTATCTTTGAAAAACTGAGCTCTGAGAGGGTCGTCAAAGCCGAGCAGTCACAACGAAAAATGCAGTGGACCGAATCAAGAGCGGCTCACCTGAAGAGTCCCCACAGAACGGCTTTTTTCTTGATGGCTAAATAGAAGAGTGCAGCATCTAGGGGGTCGTTGTTTCTCTGGAAGGCAGCTTTACCCAACTGTCAAGAAAAAGATGAAGTCTGATTCTCAAAACAAGAATCATAGTAAGCAAGAAAGGCCTATGACCAAAGCCTGGAATCTGTCTGCCTGGGTCTTTGTCCTTTGACTCTTCATTATAATAAATTAAATGTAAAAAACGTCAACCACCAAAACATGTCAGGTACAAGCAGTACAAGCTTCTCTATACACTTTGTCTTATTAAAAAAACTTTCTAACCCCCAAGAATTTTAACTTGTTAAGGAGAGAAAGTTCAGCAATAGCATTCACTGGAATATGCCAATTTGAGCCCCAGAAAATATGTGTTTAGTTCAACACATTTTTTGGCTGCTGCATAAAGGTAAATACAGGTTGTTAATGTAACTAAAGCTAAATGAGTCGCCCTGGACCAGAGGCTATTAGAAAAAGAGATGGGATATGAATTCCCACAGATGAGACAAAAATAAAACTTAAGCAGAGGGCTGGAAGACTGGAGAAACTAAGTGTGCAAAAGCTCATGGCTCTCAGTCCCCCTCACAGCCCTGCATCAAGATTTCATATTGTGCAGGCATCATGCAGCAACCCTCCTCCTCCCCATCAACGCCTTGTCAGCCGGACCAGCTCTTTGACCCTTTTCTTAGCTGTCACCAGCAGGGTCTATGCCTCAAGGAATTTCATCTCAGAATCTCTATTTTCAGGTCCCCTTCTGCATATGTCATGCAGTGCTAAAAAAAAATATTTGTTCTGTTTATTTTTTTATTTTATTTTTTTTGGTCCAAGTGGTTCAAAAATACAATTAAGACTGCCTGACAGTTGCCTGGTCTTTTTATCCGTGTACCTTCTCCACCATCTTGCGCAGCGTGTTGATGTTGCGGATCCACCAACCCACGCCCACGGCCCGGAGCTCAGACCACTGCGGGTCTCCTCTCTGCATGGCCGGGATCATGTTCAGCAGCTCCTCCTCCGCCTCCGAGTGGAACGCCCAGGCAAAGTGACACGTCGATAAACCTTTTTCCAAAATACAACAATAGAGATTCAAAATTATTGTTAAAACTAATGCACCCAAAATAGGCTAGAGGCTAGGGTTTTTGTTGCTATATTTTACATTAAATCCAATGTATACAGTAAGTGCTGTGAAATGAATTGAGTATCAGATATAATCCATCCATCCCTCTCCCCTCCTAAAAGATCTAATGGTCAATACACAACAGATAGCTGATCAGCCCCAAACAAATTCTCTATATTTTAAAATAATGATAATAATATATAATAATATAATATTGTTTTTTGAAATCCCTGGAATGAGGAATTATCAATCAATCAATCAATCTTTATTTATAGGGCGCTTTTCCTGCACAGGGCAACACAAAGCGCCTCACAGTCCACACCACACAATGCACAAATCATCACCATTAAAATACAATTAAAAACACATATGTAATTAAAAAGCATTAAAATCACATAAGTAATTTAAAAACATAAAAATCACACAAGTAATTAAAAACAATAAAATAGTTAAAAACACAAAAAGTTACAACAATAAATAACAAGGTGTGTTAAAAAGATAAAATTCTCTAGTTGTATGCACGGGAAAAAAGAAAAGTCTTTAACATGGATTTGAACATTGACAGAGAGGCAGCCAGTCTCACATCCTCAGGAAGACCGTTCCAGACTCCAGCTGCATAAATCTGAAAAGCAGCCTCCCCCTGTCTAGTCCTGACTCTGGGCACTAACAGGAGTCCCGTCCCTGCGCTCCTCAGAGTCCGGGCTGGTTCATATGGGACTAGCATATCATGGATGTACTTTGGTGCGAGGCCATGGAGAGACTTGTACACCAGGAGAGCTGCTTTAAAGTCTATCCTCTGGGCCACGGGAAGCCAGTGCAGAGACCTGAGGACCGGACTAATGTGGTCGTACTTCCTGGTTCTAGTCAGGACTCGGGCTGCAGCATTTTGAATATACTGCAACTGTCTTACTGCATGTTTGGAGATACCTGTGAGCAGGCCATTGCAGTAATCCAGCCTACTGGAAACAAAAGAATGGATAAGAATCTCCCCTGGACACAATATTTTTAATTTTGGCAATATTTTTCAGATGATAAAAAGCTGCTGATGTTACCGATCCAATGTGGCTATTGAAGTTTAAGTCAGAGTCCATTATTACTCCCAGATTTCTGACCTTATTTAAGGGCCTTAGGGAGAGAGACTGAAGGTGACAAATGACGGTCTCTCTTTGTTTCTCGGGACCAAAGACAATCATTTCGGTTTTGTCCGCATTTAGCTGGAGAAAATTGCATTGCATCCACTCACTGATCCGCTGGATACAGCGAAGGAGTGAGTCCACCGGCCCATGCTCTCCTGCAGTCAGTGAGACATAGATCTGAGTGTCATCAGCGTAATTGTGGTAGGACACTTTCATACTTTGAATTAACTGACCTAATGGCAGCATGTAAATATTGAACAGGAGAGGTCCCAGAATCGACCCCTGTGGCACTCCGCAGGTCAGGGCCATATTATCTGAGACATAGTTTCCAATCTCCACACAGTACTTCCTTTCTTCTAGATAGGACCTAAACCAGCTTAGGGCGGTACCAGCAACACCAACCCAGTCCTCCAGTCTCTGCATGAGAATCTCATGGTCAACGGTGTCGAAAGCGGCACTCAGATCTAACATGACTAAAACAGAGACTTTTCCTGCATCAGTGTTAAGCCGAATATCATTTGTTACCTTGACTAGAGCGGTCTCAGTACTGTGGTGTGGTCTAAAGCCAGACTGAAACATGTCAAATGAGTCATTAGATATTAAAAATTCAGTAAGTTGTTGGTAGGCAACTTTTTCAAGAATTTTTCCCATGAAAGGCAGATTTGAGATGGGACGGTAATTTTCAAGTACCGCAGCATCCAAACTGCTCTTTTTTAGGAGGGGCCTAATGACTGCCTTTTTCAGGGCCATTGGAAATGTTCCAGATAAAAAAGACATGTTTACTATTTGTGTCAATGAGGGTAATAGACTACACATAACAGACTTCAGAAATCTAGGAGGTAGTACATCCAGACTGCAGGTAGAGGAACTAAGACCTGTGATTATCTTTTTAACAGTTTCATCATTGACAGGTGCAAATTGAGCTAGCTCACAAAGCCTCACTGGATGTTGCATTGTTACTTGTGTTGTAGAGGTGATGGCATTTCTGATACCCTGAACCTTGTCTCTGAAGAACTGTGCAAACTCATTACACCTGGATTTGGAGTAGTGTTCTAATGGCAACTCAACAGGGGGGTTCGTTAATCTATTGATTGTTGAAAATAGAACACGCAGATTATTGCTGCAGCCTTCAATAGTTTCAGAAAAGTATAATTCTCTTGTTCTACGTAGTACTCTGTTAAACTCACACAACTTCTCTTTTAAGAGTCTATAATCACCCTGGAGGTTGGACTTTCTCCACTTTCTCTCTGCTCTCCGGCACTCTTGCTTCTGTGCCCTGACCGGGCCTGCTTTTATCCATGGGGCTTTTTGCTTATTTGTGACCATTTTTACCTTCACAGGGGCAATGGCGTCCAGAACATTCAACACACTAGAGGTGACAGAGTTAAGCAGTTCATCTACAGTAGAACATGATGTGTTCTCAAAATGGATCATTCCCATAAATAGTTCACCCGTGTTTTCATTTAAGTGTCTACTTCTAACAATTTCATATTTAGCGGGTGGTCTGGTAGCAAAACACATGTTAAAAAATACACAGAAATGATCCGACAGAGCAACATCAACTACATTAACTTTTGAAATATTCACCCCTTTCGTGATAAGCAGGTCCAAGGTGTGTCCTCTGCTATGGGTGGGGCCACTCACATGCTGAGTGAGGCCAAAGGATTCAAGTATGGAACTCAGCTCTTTTGCGTATCTGTCATTAACATTATCCACATGAATATTAAAATCGCCTATAATGACTAAACCATCAAAATCTGTGCACACAACTGAAAGCAACTCAGTGAAATGATCAGTGAAACTATGGCATGACTGTGGCGGCTTGTACACAACAATAATAAGAATGGAAGAAGATTTCTTTTGTTCTATTTTAAAAGAAACATACTCAAATGATGAAAATTTCCCAAGAGACACCCTATGGGAGACAATACGATCTTTAAAAACTGCTGCTATGCCCCCCCCCCTTTTATTTTCTCGTGTTTCATATTCAAATTTGAAATTTGGTGGTGAGGCTTCTATTAAAACTGCATCTCCTGTATTATGGTCAAGCCATGTTTCAGTCATAAACATAAAATCAAGATCATACGAACAGATAAAATTATTAATTAAAAATGATTTGTTGCATAGTGATCTGACATTAAGTAGAGCAAGGTTAAAATTAATATCAGTGTCAGTGGGTTTAGTTGATTGATTACAAAGAACTGGAATTAGATTTCCAGAGTTGGACCGTCTAACTGCTGTCCTTCTTTTAAATTTGTGTTTATTCAAGTTAAAACACATTTTCTGAGCTGGTGCGAGGAACACACACAGTCTCTATTGGTTTAAAAAGTGAACTCTGTTGTACTTTGTTAAGTTCCAGATGCATAACTGAGTCAGCACAGTTCAGTGGCAGGACTGTCGTTACACTGCCAGACGGACAGGGGTCAGTGTTTGCACCACAGTACTCACCCGGTGCTGGTAAGGAAGAGGAGGGGGGTGGTGGGGGCCGAGAAGCCTCAGATGTAAACAGTCACGCCCCCCTCGGGGAGCACTGAACAACATGGCGCAGGAAGTCCGTCAACAAACTGGTGCCGTATCTGTTCGGGTGCAGACCATCTGGACGATAGGCCACGTGACGCTTCCAGAACAGGCCAAAGTTGTTCACAAAAATAAAGTTAAAAGTGCTGCATGTAGACTGGAGCCACATATTCAGCGCCACAACGCGACTGTACAAGCAGTCTCCCCGGTTTACAGTCGGGACTGGACCAGAGATAAAAACACACAACCCGGAGGACTGGAGAAGGCGGAATAGATCCATAAAATGCTTCTTTGTGACCTCGGACTGCTGCAGCTTCATGTCGTTGATCCCCACATGCACGATTACCTTGGATATGGTATCGGGCAGGGACTGAAGCAGAGGAGGGAGACGTATGAGCAGGTCTGGTACAGTGGCTCCAGTAATGCAGTGAGTGACCGCGTTAAAAAAGCGGACGTGCCTCACGATGGAATCTCCAACAATCAAAGTAGTCGGGGCGAAGAGTGGACGCGGCCGCGGAGAAGGCGCTCGGTGTCCATGGCCGGAACCAGCGGGCTCATCCAGGGATGAGTCCGAACCAGGGCGCTGCTGAACACATGGAGAAGAGTGGGGGTGTTGATTCCCAGCTCCGGGCAACCCACGCTGTGTGCACGGAGACGCTGGAGCGGCGAGAGGAGCAGGCTCGGGTCGCTGCTGCTGACCCGGTGAAGGTAAGTGGTGGTGATGCACTGGGGTCAGAGAAGGGGAATGATCACTCTTTCGTCTGAGGACAGCTTCCTTTAGGAGTGTCTTTCTCGCAGTGGACCTGGATCCACGGACAGCAGTAGAGTTTGCTGCAGAGTCCAGGGGTTCTGCTGAGGGGGCTGGAATGTCAGCGGAGAGGGCTGCATAGCGGTTTGAAAGGCTCAGGACATGGGCCACGGCGCTGGATGGCTCCTCGCAGTCCGCAGGCTCTTTATTCCGAACCGGGCACTTAGGTGTAGAACAAGAGGGCCCAGAGCTGACAGACCTCTCCCACACGACAGTGTCACAGTATGCAGCGCTCAGTGACATAAGCCGTGAGTGCTGCCCGCCAGCGACATCAAAAAGTTTGGACACGAGTGACTGTTTATCCTGCAGCTCTGCAGTGAGGCGAAGGACTTCTTTACGGAGGTCTGCAATAGTGGCACGGTCCCTCTCACGAAGCTCCAATGTGAGGCGACTAATGTCGTTCGTGGTCATTGCAGTGTCACTTTCCATGTCTGTGGTGCGCTCGTGGTAGCCTCCGAGCTAGCGCGTTTCGATTTGGTCTTTGTGTTAAAAGACGTAATGCTCTGGAACCATTGCATTTAAGGTAATAAAACACTAGAGTGTACAAAAGACACTAATACACCGTAAAAACGTGTTTAAAAGGCTTTAAAAGGCTTAAAAGGGTAAACAGAGCAGAGACGTCAAAACGCGTGCTCACTCCTCCACCAACGCGTGCTTTCTATTCTTATTTTTTTTAATTTGTCAATAAACAAAAAAAAAGTTAAAAACAGACATACGAGATGGTAGCGGTGGTTCTGTGTGGACTGAGCCTGTAAATGCATAGACCTTAAAATCTAGCCATAGAATCTGCATTTCTGACCAGTGCAGATGTTTTTGATTGTCCGACACTGGGGATTTTGACTTTACCAGGAATCTCAGCTCCATTTATTGTATCGATATTGAGTTTGACATTTTTAGTATCGTGACACAACAATTCCTCTCAAGTCCAGACTCATCTACAACCTTCCTTTTGCCGACAGAAGATGCTTTCATAAAACACACCCAATTCAATTGAAACTTTGAATGCCGTCTCTTACCCTGGTGGAGCAGCTGCATGCGGTACAGCGGCGGCAGAGATGTGAGTAAACACGTGTGAAGACGCATGGCCAGGAGATAACGAAGTCCACACTCATCCAGCGCCTCGCCACCTACAGAGACAGTTCATCCATGAGATATGCTGACAAGTAAAGAGCAACATAGGAATAAATATGGAACATTTAATGGCTTTATCCAACCAATGTTTTAGATTGTGTTTTCCAAACTTTTCACACTGTTCCAACCGTTTGATTCTCTGATCCGTTGTTGTGGAATAAAACAGTTTGTTACGTCTGTTGTGACGTAAAAATGGTGTTAAACAAATAAATGGAATTGAAATGAAAAAACGTTTTTCAGTTATTTTTCTTTGTGTTCCAGTGACAATGGCCTTGTCAACTGTATAACACCAGAGGAATCACTCAGTGTAAAGATACTGCTTTACTTTTGCCTTGAACTTTTTACTCTCTTTGTGTTTGTGTGGTGCTGGAACGGTCTGCTAATGTTGGATGTAGCAAAAGACAAAATAAAATTGTTGTAAAATATGAATAAAAAGGAAAACACTGATCACACTGAGCTTTATCTGGACAAAAGAACAGCACCAGCACTGTTTGTGTAGCGATAACAGCAGATTTAAACACTGAAATCAATTATTTACATAAAAAATAAATCTCTGCAAAGGTTGTCTGTATTAAAAAAAAAATAAGTCCAATACATATTTGAAATTAAACCATGTGAGGTCTTTGGAGGTAATTAATCCATTTGAAAATTGCCTCTCAATGGTCTCTCTATCTGTGACATGAAAAAGAAAGGCATCTTCTTCTGACAGTGCTCGAATCCAGGTTAAAATCAGTTCTTTTTAGGTATGCTTCACTTGTTTTTAATGCATGGTGATTATTTATGATTTGAATGCCTTGTATGATTGTGTCCATCTGCTTTTGTCAAGAACTTTGAGTTGCCTTGAGTTGTATAACCTACTACGCTATACAAAAAAAGTTGCCTTGCCTTGCCTTAATTAACTGACCTGAACTACCAAGGCTAAGGTTAGGGGGTGATTGAACCTGGTTACAATTATATAATTTCTATTCCTAACCTGGTTCAATCACACATTTCATTTCTTAGTTGTGTTTACTTTACCTGAGTATTGTTTGTCATTGGAGCCTGTGACTTCAGCGCTGGTTGTCGCCACAGTATCTGCCAAAGCCACTAAAAACATTTGCTCCAGTCGGGTCAGGCCTGGGAGGCTGGAGTGCATGAGGTGACTGGACAGAACCTGATGCAGAGAGAAAATAATTAAATATGTCTTTATAAAACCCAATAGTATTCCTAAGAGTTTTACCTGAGCGTGCTCTGGTCCAAAGTAAGATGGCCCGTACTGTGAGAGATTGATAACTCTGGATTTCCTGTCTGGTTTATCAGACGCAAAGTTGACAAAGTCGTCTGTCGTAACTGCCGACATCTGTAAGAAAAACAAATGCAATTTTGACTTTCATGTTTATGTAATGACACCATGGAAATACAGCTGTTGTGATTTAGGGCTATACAAAAATACATTTAATTGAATTGAGTTAGGTTTAATGCACCCCAGACACACAGAGTAATTACCTGGAACAAATCTGCGTACTGATCCTCTGAGGACTTCTGCGTTGGGTCTCCATCCCCGCCCTTCCCCCCTTTCCCTGCCTCCTCTGGGCCCTTGTAGGTGTCCTGGTCGGCCAGCAGCAGTGAGTACAGGGGCAGGGGTGGGATGGAGTTGATCTCGGTGTAGTCCCGTCCTCCGTCGCGCCCGGCTACGATGGTGTCTTTGGCTGTGCTCCCCGTGACGCTGATGGTGCGAGACAAGTGACGCCTGGAGCCGCCTTCTCCCGCCTCTACGTCCCTCACCACGGCAACCTCCCCCGCAATGCACTTCACCAGGTGAGCGAGGATAGCCTGGGGGGTGCAAGGCCGAGGAGTTATTGGAACAGGCATAGATGGTGTTATGTCAGAGACGTGTCAGGCCGAGCAGGACTTTCCAACTGATCTGTCTGTGTTTTTATAATGAGGACAATCTCAACATGCCTGTGAAGATTGGCTGCATTAAAGATATTTAACTCTTCCAACTTTGGGATGGAAATAGAATATTGAAAAGATATGGCAATTTAATAATGTATCAGGTTTATACAGCGCTTTTTGGACACTCAAAGATGCTTCATATGTCACTATTCATTCACTCCATACACAGTGGTGACAAACTACAACTGTAGCCACAGCTGCCCTGGGAGCCACCACCAACTATTGACGCAAAAACCAGACTAATAAAGCTATTCTAATAAACAAACTATTCGCCTGGACTTGCATCGCACACTGTACCTTGGCTCGCCGCACTTTTCCCAGGTCCATGAGCTCCAGCAGCTGCGTGGGGTGATACTGGGGGAGAGTGGGAGACAGCGAGTGAGCCGCTTCAAAAAGTCCTCCCTCCTGAAGTCCTGACGGAGCTCTGAGCGCCTCGTCTACAGCCGCACTGCCCTCATACACACTTTTAGATCGGGCTCTACCCTCAAAAACCGGGTTCTGCCCTCCGGAAATATCAGCAGAAGACAGGTTCCCCTCGTCCCCGTCTCCCGGTTTAGCGTCCTGGCGCCATTGAGCATAAACGTGCATCTCGCAGTCCATTCCCACGACCAGAATCCCATCCCGGACCCAAGACAGAGACACGGGCAGAGAGGGGGTCCCGTCTACGGAGGATAACAAGTCTATTGAACGTAGTAGGATCCACCGCGAGCGAATGCCTTGCTTTATGCTGCCCCCTAGAGGAAGTGTGATGACTGCCACGCCCTCCTTGCTGCTGGTCTGCTCATTGACCATGCCAGATATCCTGCCGTACATGAGGATGTTGGAGCCCACTCCCACAGTAAGGATGTGAGAGCCATCCTCTTTGGAGAGCCAATCCAAGTGGACGTAGTGCTTGATGTTTGGAGAGGTGTGGTCCCGGCACATGTAAAGGTCAGACCTGAAACGGAGAATGCATGAATTAGTGGTATAACATGGTATTGTAAGTACTGTATTTATTTCAAACTTTTTCATAAACAATACATTTCAACAAACTAGATAAATGAATTGAGTTTGAAAAGGAGTGGGATAAAGAAAATGCCAATTTGGCGTCGACACACACACACACACACACACACTCAACTATTAATCACGACATCCTGAGGGCATGACTCTTTCTTCATGTACTATTTTTGAACTGAAGGATATTCGAACAAGGATAGTGAGTGTGCATTGTCTCTAAAAAAAATTCCCATTAGCATATATTACTCTAAGTCCCAAAAAAGATACTAAAATCAAGATAAATGTAACCTACAATAATTCAAGACTTGTTTGACTTTTTTTTGCAGTGCATCTTGCGTTTTTCTTAAATTAATCTATATCATCAAATATGAAAATGAGTTGACTGGCACATAACCAGGATGCCAGTTATGATGAATCGACCAGATGATGTAAAACGCAAGTAACGTTTATGATGTTGAAATAAGTTAAACGCCGACCTGCTGTAGACAAAGAGGTTGGAATCCACGCTGACTCGGGGGTCAAGGGTGGACGTGGGCCGTGTGAAGTCGTCCAGGTGAATGGTTTGCTCCAGGACCCACTCTGAGCCTCCGGTCGACTCACACTCGTAAATGGAAACGTGCATGGAAAAGTCTTGTGCACAATTGAACTGCAAAAGGCAAGAAAATAACATTATTTTTGCACCAATATCAAAAACTGGTCCAGCAGTCCCTTTTGAGTGCTAAAATATGCTACCTATAATTTAGGTACATGATGTGCTGTATTCAAATGCATTGTTATATGAAAACTAATTCTATGAATTGTGTAGGGATTGCGTTCCATCTCTACCTGTGTTTGTCTTTGCTGTTTGAAAGCCACAGCCAGTCTGCCAATGTAGGAGCAGGATACCGCGACCGGGCGTCCAGAGACAGGGACAGCGCTGTTGTTATCCTCCTCCTCGTTCATGAGGGCCCAGGGCTCCCAGCGGTACACGCGGCTGTCTTGCTGGTCATCCCCGTAGCCCTCGTCAGCGCTCTCTACAGCACAGTGCCAGAAGCGAACGTGGGAGTCTGAGCAAGTGGTCACGATCAGGTATGGGGCCAGGCACACCGGGTAGATGGACGAGGAGCTCAAATGACCTGAAGAAAGACAATCACATGGTTAAGATGACATATGTAACAGCATGTATAACCACATCACACCAGGCTAGTTCATTTGTAAGAGGTCATGTTCTCTGAGCCTTATATTTCAGATCACCTTTTCTAGCAGATGGTAATGCACAAAATTACTAAGAAATTACAGCAACTGACCCAGATTAGCATGGTCACGGCTGCCATTTGTAAGTGGCCAGGGGAACTGAGTGTTAAGTTATTCTGAACAAGTGTAGATTCTAAGCTTTCCAAAAATGTATACATGTGAAAATCTGATAACATATGAAGGAATAGTCTTTTGAAAGTAAGGTCACCTGAAATCACAAAGCTGAGAAAAACAGCCTCACAGTTTCCCCTTTTCCAGCCAAGTTCAGGGGCAGGGAACACTCGTTTGCATCACATTAGACTAATATATAATGTTATGCAGGAGATGGAACCGTAATTGCTGAAGTATAAACTGCTACTTTTTTCTACTTTGTTGGACCCTGCAGCCTATGCAGCATTTTTATTGGGAAAGAGTTGGGCTGTTGTCAGAGCAGACTTCATATTTAGACTCCTTCAGCCCCTATAGGACACTCATGTATTATCAAAATAGACTGGTGAATGTGTTATGGAAGTTGACGGTTTAGCTGTAAAACGCCTTGTCATTAATTCATGTTGTGTCCAGTTAAAAGCGTTGTCTATCTGCTTTGTTTGGCTGATCAGCTAAGCGTTACACAACAACATGAACACCTGCAGCACATATTCAAGTGCGCCGGATGTACTTTTGATTAAAATGTTGCTTGTGCGGCTTATATTCAGGTGCGTTGATAGTCCAGAAAGTACTATAGTTTATGGTGTTATCAAACAGAATTCTCAATGACAAAAAACCCTACAGTAGGTCCCATTTCGTTTTGTCGCGTTTCACGCGTGAATCACACGAGACTCACGTGTGATTCACGCGTCTTTTATTTATTTTTTCCCCAGTGATGCTGCAATGACCCAAACAACCACCAGGTGGCACTTGTGAGCAGGGTTAGGAAAATTGGCTTCTCATCGGTCTTTGTTCTCTGTTCACGGGACAACTTTCTGTGGCTTTATAGCTCAATGATAAGGAGATGGACTCTGGTGTGAGAGGACCCGGGTTCAAGTCCAGGCTATGACACTTTTGATTTTGTTGACGTTTACATGTTTTCTAAAACATACTTAGTAATTAGGCCAACACATTTAAAATAGTTGCTAGACGGTAGTAAACTTCACAATCTGCACCAACCAAACTGCAGGAAAAAAATGCAACTTTATTCAGTAACGGAGTAATCTGATTCATATACTCCCCCCGCTAATAAAAAATTGAGGATTGGCCGGGGCTTGAACCCCGAACGTCCACGGGAAAGTCTTGTACAATCCCGCTACACCACACAGGCGCTGGAGAAAACACTGGATCTAATAGTAAAGACCCCTGAGTAAATGAGCAGTGCGGATGTGCGGGACGCTTAAAATGCCTCCCACTCAGAAAAAAAGCAGACGCCTTTTCTCTGGCATCTCTAACATTTATAATAAATACATAAATATAACAATCATAATGAAGATGCTTTCAAATAATTTAGCAAGCTGAAATTCATTTATTTCAACTGCCAAACTTCTCTCGCTGCTCCTCTCCTCTCCTCCGCAAATCACTAAATGAGGAAAAGGGAATATTCACTCAATCTATTTTGAATGTTACACATACAATATTAATATAGTCTAAGCACGTGTACCACATGTAGCCCGTGTATTTACCACAGACTGTAAGTATTAAAGTAATGAGGCCCCTGCTTTAGGCCTCTACTGTGACGCCCACAGTCATCAGTCTCGGTGCCTCTGTGTAGAGCACACGTCTGTCCTCGGGCTGGAGTGTTCTGAGGCTTTAAGCGGGGAGTCAGGAAGGAGCGATCCTGTTTGTCAGCATGATTTTTTTGTTTAACAGCCTCCCTGCGCGATTGCAAATGTACTCAAGGGACTCCCATACCGTGGCTCACATATATAATATTATATAGGGATCAGGAGCTTTCTGACCCGACCCACCCGCACCTGACATGACTCATATTTTTGAGGCATCCAACCCGCCCAAAACCGCGGGACCCGCGGGTTGACTGCGGGTTTCGGGCCGACCCGCGCATCTCGCATGTCCTGTTCAGGGCTGCAGGAGCAATTGTCCATTATTTTAATTGGACTTCTGGTCCATGCACACTGTAAAAAAGATAAAGTTAGTTCAACTCAAAATTTCAAAGCAACCAGCTGCGAAGGATTTTTGAGTTGAAGGCATTAACTTAATTCTTCAAGTTTTGAAGAACTACACTTATTAAGTTGTGTCAGTTAAGTTTTCCAAGTTCTGCCAACTAAGTGTTTAAATTCAAGTTACTGGAAATTTCAAGTCTGTAAAAACTTACTTTTTTAAGTTCAGATTACTGTCGCGAGCAGAGAGAGAGAGAGAGAGGTGAGCAGAGAGAGAGAGACGCGAGCAGAGAGAGACGTGAGCAGAGAGAGAGAGACGTGAGCAGAGAGAGAGAGACGTGAGCAGAAAGAGAGAGACGCGAGCAGAGAGAGAGAGGCGTGAGCAGAGAGAGAGAGACACGAGCAGAGAGACGCGAGGAGAGAGAGAGAGACGTGAGCAGAGAGAGAGAGACGCGAGCAGAGAGAGAGAGAGAGAGGTGAGCAGAGAGAGAGAGACGCGAGCAGAGAGAGACGTGAGCAGAGAGAGAGACGTGAGCAGAGAGAGAGAGAGGTGAGCAGAGAGACGTGAGCAGAGAGAGAGAGACGCGAGCAGAGAGAGAGAGACGCGAGCAGAGAGAGAGAGAGACGTGAGACATGTTTTTCTACGTAAATACTGTATGTGTACTATTTTTGTTGCAGAATGCTGTAGAATTGCAAAGAGCATAAGCAGTAAATATGTGAACATACAGTACATACATATGTATCACTAAATACAATCACAATGAAAACATGACTAAATCATTTGACTGTTGTTCATAAACACTGATGTCAGGACACAGACACAGACCGTTTCATTGACATGAAGACTTTCTTTTGAGGAATTAAGTTCATTTTGAGAAAGTGACTTTTTAGCAGGTTATCCATGAGGTTTTGCAGTTTGCACTCATTGTTCTGAGAAATGCACTAACTGTTGTTAAAATGTGAAGAATTATGTGAAAAATGCACCAAAGACACTGAGAAAAACTGATTACAACATATATACAGCGCATTCTCAGGGTACACAGCACTGCCATGGCATCTCTTCTGCTTTGCAGCTCTCCCTCCCCCACACGAATAAACAAAGCCCACCCCAGCCCCCTGCTGTTATAAGTCATTACCTACATTTGCAAATCAATACATGCAAATGTTAGCAGCCAACCTAGCAAGTTAGCTCCCTGTTCTCAAAACAGGGGCCAATTTCGGTTGGGTTTTCTAGTGTTAAGAAGAACAGGTGCGAGAGACGTGAGCAGAAAGAGAGAGACGTGAGCAGAGAGAGAGAGACGTGAGCAGAGAGAGAGAGACGTGAGCAGAGAGAGACGTGAGCAGAGAGAGAGAGACGTGAGCAGAGAGAGAGAGACGTGAGCAGAGAGAGAGAGACGTGAGCAGAGAGAGACGTGAGCAGAGAGAGAGAGACGTGAGCAGAGAGAGACGTGAGCAGAGAGAGAGAGACGTGAGCAGAGAGAGAGAGAGAGAGGTGAGCAGAGAGAGACGCGAGCAGAGAGAGACGTGAGCAGAGAGAGAGAGACGTGAGCAGAGAGAGAGAGAGAGAGGTGAGCAGAGAGAGACGTGAGCAGAGAGAGAGAGACGCGAGCAGAGAGAGAGAGCAGAGAGAGAGAGACGCGAGCAGAGAGAGAGAGAGACGTGAGCAGAGAGAGAGACGCGAGCAGAGAGAGAGAGAGAGAGGTGAGCAGAGAGAGAGACGCGAGCAGAGAGAGAGACGTGAGCAGAGAGAGAGAGAGAGAGGTGAGCAGAGAGAGAGAGATGCGAGCAGAGAGAGAGAGACGTGAGCAGAGAGAGAGGGACGCGAGCAGAGAGAGAGAGAGAGTGGTGAGCAGAGAGAGAGACGCGAGCAGAGAGAGACGTGAGCAGAGAGAGAGAGACGCGAGGAGAGAGAGAGAGAGAGAGGTGAGCAGAGAGAGAGGGACGCGAGCAGAGAGAGAGAGAGAGAGGTGAGCAGAGAGAGAGACGCGAGCAGAGAGAGACGTGAGCAGAGAGAGAGAGACGCGAGCAGAGAGAGAGAGAGAGACGTGAGCAGAGAGAGAGACGTGAGCAGAGAGAGACGTGAGCAGAGAGAGAGAGACGCGAGCAGAGAGAGAGAGAGAGTGAGCAGAGAGAGAGACGTGAGCAGAGAGAGAGAGAGGAGAGCAGAGAGAGAGAGAGAGAGGTGAGCAGAGAGAGAGACGCGAGCAGAGAGAGACGTGAGCAGAGAGAGAGAGAGAGAGAGTGAGCAGAGAGAGACGTGAGCAGAGAGAGAGAGACGCGAGCAGAGAGAGAGAGAGCAGAGAGAGAGAGAGATGCGAGCAGAGAGAGAGAGAGACGTGAGCAGAGAGAGAGAGAGAGAGAGTGAGCAGAGAGAGAGACGAGCAGAGAGAGAGAGCGCGAGCAGAGAGAGAGAGAGAGAGAGTGAGCAGAGAGAGAGACGCGAGCAGAGAGAGAGACGTGAGCAGAGAGAGAGAGACGTGAGCAGAGAGAGAGACGTGAGCAGAGAGAGAGAGACGCGAGCAGAGAGAGAGAGAGAGACGTGAGCAGAGAGAGAGACGTGAGCAGAGAGAGAGAGACGCGAGCAGAGAGAGAGAGAGGTGAGCAGAGAGAGAGACGCGAGCAGAGAGAGACGTGAGCAGAGAGAGAGAGAGGTGAGCAGAGAGAGAGAGAGAGGTGAGCAGAGAGAGAGAGATGCGAGCAGAGAGAGAGAGACGTGAGCAGAGAGAGAGGGACACGAGCAGAGAGAGAGACGTGAGCAGAGAGAGAGAGAGACGTGAGCAGAGAGAGAGAGAGACGAGCAGAGAGAGAGACGCGAGAGAGAGAGGACGAGCAGAGAGAGAGAGACGCGAGCAGAGAGAGAGAGAGAGAGAGAGGTGAGCAGAGAGAGAGAGACGCGAGCAGAGAGAGACGCGAGCAGAGAGAGAGAGACGCGAGCAGAGAGAGAGAGACGTGAGCAGAGAGAGAGAGACGTGAGTCCGCGTGTCTATGGTCCGCGCTCGGAGCCCAGACGGCAGTGCGTTCACTGAGCGGAGGATGTAACGTAACGTTCGGTTTATCAAAACATATCACAATATTTAATGTATATTAAATAAAGTCTAGTGAATTTCACCTAGATTTTTTCAGACATTAAAGACAAGATTTATATAATAATTGTTTAATGAAAAAACAATTTTGCCACAAGCAACCAAAAGATGTGCCTCAGACAAGAATCGAACCTGGGTTCTCCAGGTCCCAGTCTTTGATGCTAACCATTGGGCCAACATAGCACCTTTGGGCTAGACAGGTTTGCACGCAGTCTTATACCTGAGCGTCTAAGTCACTGGCAGAGCTAAAGTGGACTTAGCCTGCCACCTTGTGGCGATAAGATGTACTATTTTTCACGCAGCTGCGTGATTCCCGAGAAGCGTGAATGAAGACGACAAAACGGAATGGGACCTACTGTAACTCTAACCCTTGAAACTATTTATTTTTGCAGTCAATCATCTCCCACCTAAAAAATACAAATGTTTCCATAGTACTGAGATTTTGACACAGGTCTCACGGTAGTATTGAATCGTATGGGTGAAGTATGTGTAAATACCTGCAGATGGCGTCGCCCTGGTCACCTCCACCCCATGTGGGAGGTCCATGCGTTTGCTGTAGACCAGCTTGGAGCTGAGGATGAGTTTGCTCGCGGACTGTAGGTTTGCGGTGGAGGCCGAGCGAGGCAGTGGCCGGATGGGAGACATCTCTGGAGAGGAGTCCGCATTTACCACCTGATTAGGAACCATGAGCTGGCTCTGAAAGCTGAAGTCTGGACTCTTCTCATCTGGACACAAAGGACATAACACTATGGTTACAAGCTCAACACGTTAGCCATAAATAAACTTTTTTATCTCATATCAGTATTATTGTAAAGGAGAGATGTATTGCATTTTCTTTGTTTGAACTATGATCAGTGTTGGTGAATCAAAAACTTGAATTGGACAACAATCAATCAATGTTAGTGAACAAATTTGGACTTACCAACACAAGCCTGGACCGACTGGAGATGCAGGTGCCACATTTGAAGCACAGAGTTTCGATTTAAATCCTTTTCTATCACAACCAAGAAAAACTTCTCTGAAAATGGAGGAGGCTGGTAATCTGAAAACAGAAAGTTATTTAAACCTACATGAAGATTCTTCAGGGGTGTTGAACTGGTTCCAGAAAGGGCCAGTGTGTGGCTGCACGTTTTCATTCAAACCAAGTAGGAGCACACCAGGCTCAAGATAGACCAGAGAGAGAGGGACCAAAGAAAAAATACAGAGAGAGAGGTACCAGACAGAGGGACCAGAGAGGCACCACACTCCACCCATTTCCTCAGGTCTCGAGGTTAAGACTGGACCCACTTGAGGACATGATTGGAATCTGGTGTGTTCTTGCTTGGTTGGAATGAAAACGTGGAGCCACATCGGCTCTTTGAAGACCGGTTTGACACACCTGATGTAGAATGAAACAAAAGCACAACAGTTTCAATGTCAAACATGTCTTGTACCTCCTTCACCAAATGTTGGTGGCGGCGTTTCCGACGTTTTCGGAGGTTTGTATCCAAGAATGAAGTCTTCTTGGAAGACATGCAGCAGCTGAGTGTTGGACCCGCACTGGAGATACATTCAAATACATTTATCCCGATGGCAGTTCATTGTTAAAACATACAGTTTAGTTGAATATCAACAGAAATTCATGTAACCTGGTTTGTAATGGCATCCAACTCTATGATACATCCAGGCCTGGCTGTAGACTGCTGGCTCACAATGTTGAACACTTCGCCCACCAGTTTCTAAACAAGAACACAGCGATTACTTCTATACATACACAGAACATGTAGGTGTAATCTGATGAAAAACAAATCATTATAAGAAAGATTCATTTTCAGACTCAAAGCTGGGGCATAGCTACTTTTTCCCCATGAATAATAAATTGCATTTGTTCGAACAACAAGTCTTGTAAAAGTCAAATGTTGAAACAATCAAGTCACAATCAGGTCACAAAACCTGGTATCTTTTAAGCCCTGGGAGTTACTATTTGATGCTTTGGGCTGGGAACCTTTGGGAAAAAGCTGATCTAAACATGTGACAGAGGCCACAAAGACAGATGTATGTGAAAATGAGTGATAAAGGAAACTGTTTTGAGAGCAAGGAAGGAGTGAGAAGGATTTTCTCACATAGTTCCATTTGTTGTGGTTTGAAAGTTATGTACTCCAGCTTTAAATTTAGATTATACCCCACAAAGTAATGATAAAAACTTCTTGTGATAAACTCACAGAGGTCTCCGGGTCTGACAGCTCATCTAGTAGTTTCCTGGCATCCACCACGGCTTGATAGAGGCGGAGATTTTTTCCATCTGAAGCTACGAAGCAGGCACTGGCACTGTTACAGTACGTCCCTGATGGAGGAGAGAAGTGAAAAGTTTAATCAGCGTCCTACTTTGTAAGAATAAATTAGCTACTGTTTTCTTGACTATCAAAAAACAGAATAAAAAATAGGTGCTGCGTCAAAGTATCTCTGCAACATTTTATATGTCTTTGTGTGAGGGAAGCAGCACCCTGGAAGAATCTCAACCAGGTATGGGGAGAGCCTTTAATCCACCTTTAAATGTCAACTGTGGTCTAACTATGTTATCATGAAGGTGTCTAGAAGTGGTTAAAATATTCCAGGCGAAACCAGTCTACAGGTCTCCCCTAGTCTGGACCCGTGGGCTGCATCCCCCTCTTCGCCTGGGAGTCTCTTTAGTCCTGCCCTGCACAGCCTCAGTCCTCGTTCTACAATCTGAGTCCTGGATCTATAGCCTGTCCGTCTGTGGGCGCGGATCCCTCTCTCAATATAGGCCACCCCGAGGTTTCCCATTTCCCACTGGGTTTTCTTGAGTCGTTCCTTACCACATATCCAACATATCCATAGACAGTATTTCAGACAAAATAATTATATGGTGAAACTATCACTAGATTTGTGAAAATGTTTGGACACTATATATTTCACCATTTCTTTAATAAATAGTATTGGCACACAACCTCTACAGAGTTCAGTAATTATTAAAACCTAAAATTTTTCCTTGTTCAATTCCTCCAAACTCACACTACTCCAAACTCTTTATTTGATTTTTTTATACCAAGGACGGTGCTGGGGACGAGAGTGGGCAGCCAAGCCACGTTGCTGAAGGCAGAGGTGTGCAGAGAGTTGATGCGGGCGAGTTCGGAGACCCCCCCGGTGCAGGACAGAGGCCCGATGTGGTCCACCCTCCACAGGATCAGCTCACTGTAGATGGCGTTGGGGTCATGGAAGGTCCGGGTAGCTGCATTACGAAGCTGTTTCCTGGAGAGACAAAAATAGCCCAGGTTCATAATTCATCATTTATGAGTCTGGGGATTATGTTACAAAATGCTAAAAGTGCCTCCATTGTGTCTGTTCCATTCATCTTTTGAGACTCAGGGCACCACCAAGGTTTTCCTACTGTCTTCAAAGCCTCTCAGTGCAAAACAGTTAAGAAATCAAAATAACAAAATAAATGGGGATTAAAACAACATGTATTTTTTTTACAGCTGCAATAACTGTACAATAACTGTGCAATATGGTTTTAAAATTATGATTAAATGGATTCATGTCATAGTTAACCTGTGATTAATCGCAATTAGTCGCACAATATAAAAGAATGGCACCGTTAATAACGCGTTTAACTGACAGCACGAATATATTTATTTGAATTAATTTGTGATGCTGGCACAACTTTACCCCTTCCCTAACTACTATTTTATATTAGCAATATGAGATAAAGACTGAGACTAAAAGACTGCTGTGTACAAAAAAATATAGTTTTTTGGTTTGCTTTTGCTTGTTTCTTCCTTAGTTTGTCAGTAACAAATGCGTTGGAGTTTTTTTTTTAAGAATTCCATTGAAATAACTGTTCTGAGAGTTTTAGTTGTTTCAGAATCTGACAGTCCTTGTGTTAAAGGCAACAAACAGTACTAAATGTGTGTTGGCCTGCCGGGGTACCTGGGCAGTCCTTTGGGGATGGGCAGAGTGGGTGGTTGCTCTCCATCCAAGCTGCCTGGGGCTGAGGGAGGGGTGAGCAGGGCGTTGTGGTGCGATGAGGTCAGCAGCAGCGGCAAAACCGTGTGGCAGGACTGGTCGTTCAGGTGGAAGCGGTGGCCACAGTACCGGAACTTATGAGACACGTTCAGGACGTTGGAGAAGGCCGAGCGCTCCGCATACGTCACCGCCCACTGCGCACAGGCAACAGAAGACAAACGTTTAGAGTCAAGTAGGCCTGCCCAATCAGTGACCCCCAATCTACAGCTACTGAAAAAAAAAATAATTTAAACAAGAAGTTCTATTGAAGTAGGCCTCATCTCTGTCCAAGCTGAAAACCGTTCTATTGAGCTGTGCGTGTGACTGACTTATATATGGAGTTATAACACTGAGTTTTATTTCTGACATTGAGAACTAAATGTGTGTATTAAGAACATGTATTAACATTTTTGGACATTGGACATCCTGCTCCTATGTGTTTTCTGATACAGCATTTCTTCTCCGAGACGACTGCTGTTGTAATTCAATAATTGAACTGATTTGAATTGAGTTCTCTAGGGGAATCAGTGGAGCTTTGTTTTGGTCAAATCTATAATGACCCTACATTCATTGATTTTCTGGACCTAAACAGGATCCTCTATTCTGCAAATTTACAATTGATATGGCTTTTGGGCGACACAACAATAATGACCTTCTATCAAACAAAAGTAAAACTGAACGACTGTGTCTTCACTGTTTTTAATGTACAGTGATTACTTATGATTTTAATGCCTTGTGTGATCGTTTCTTGTGTTTGAACGGTGCTAATCAAAAGGATTGATTGATTGATTGATTGGTTATACAACTAAAATTGCCTTTCCAGATTCTATTTTTAACTGCTCTACACCATGATATTCTTTTGTCATTGTCAGTGCCTGTATTGCCGTCATTGACCTGGTTGAGGGACCCGTCCACGTGCTTGGAGACCATCATGACGGCCGGACTGGTGATGGGCTGGGAGTTGGAGGAGGGGTTCATGCCCAGTGAAGTGAGGCCAGCCGAGGCAGAAGCAGAGCGGGGCAGAGGCGGCGCGGATCTCCCCTGGTCCCCTGTCCCGGGACTCTCTGCCTCTGTCAGGGTGTAGGCGTACATCAGAATATTTTTACTTAGAGAGTTGGCGTCGCCAGTGGGAAATGCCACAGGGATACGAGAGGAGAAAGAGACCTGCAAGGAGAAAATGTGTCAGCTATTATTAGATCACACTCAAGACTCCACAAGGGGAAAACTTGGACATGGAAGCTCACTCATTCAAATGTATTAACAACAAGCACACAAACAAAACAATTATTTAAGTAGCAAATTACTTTTCTATTTAAATTCTGTTCAAATCCCAGGTACCCAACTTATTTTGTCTCATAAACAGTATGCTTTTACCCAATAAAAAAAGAAAGAGACTAAAACCATTCATAACCACAATGTGTCCTCATCTTGTCTTTTGTCTTTTGCCTATTTTTTAGATAGAGCCCTATGAGGCAGTATTTGAAACTTAGGGCTAAGAGCTGATTGGCTGAATTAGGGTGGTCCTCTCTTTTTCACTTTTCTGTCTGACAAATATGATCTAGGCATGTGACAGAGGCCAAAAATACATTCATGTGAAAAGACCCAAAATATTTTAATGCTCCATAAAAGCTAGAACTAGAAACATGGATTATCTTATAGTAGTTCCCTTTATGTAGCTTGAAAGTTAGGTACCACAGCTTTGATTAAAATGCAAGTATTTAGAAACCATGTATTGGTTAAGGACAGTGTTTTTCAACCGTGTCCATGGCATATGCTGTTTGGTGTGGCTTTGGAGATGATCCAATACCACCCATTTTATGGTGTTGTATACAGAAATTATAACCGTTACACCTGCACACTCAACATAAATACAAACACACATTCACACAACCCACACAACACAAACCCAGTATTTCAAAATTAAGTATTAGCAATGTAAAGCTGAACATTTTCTGAGAAAGAAAGGCATTTTTTGTGATTGATTCTATTGAAAAATGTGTACCATGACTCACAAAGGTTGGGGAATACTGGAATAGAAACATCCCCACAGCAAAGAGAAAAAGAAATGCTTAAAAATATAGTTCAAAGATATTGCAGAAAATATTTTACAATGTTGTAAGTAACTAAATAATCATTACTTGTATAGTGCATTAAATAGATCATGGTCTCACAATTTTTGGTGTACCAGTAATTAACTTTTACTCCACACATGCTGCTGGTTACAGAAGCAAGACAAAGAAACCATCCATTCACTCACTCATTACATTCATACTGTACCTAATGTACATGCTTTTAGTGGTAGGGGAAAATTGGAGCACCCGGAGAAAACCCTATACAAACATGAGGAGAACATGCAAATTGTGCCACTCAAGATTTACCCAAGAGCCAGCACTTAAAATATCTTAATTCTTAGACCAGTTATTTAGAAACCTCCTGTGTGTGTCAGATTTGTTTTTAACCCAAGGGTAATCCAAGTATGTAAAAACCAGACATGGCACACACATGACTCATCCAATCCTATTTGAGTTTCACTTTCCTCTCTGCTGTTTCATTTCCTTGCATTCACACATGAAAGTTCAGAATCACTTCAACCATTTCTCTTTTTCATGAATAGAGAATGCATGGGAGTTGGGGGAAACAAAAATCAATTCAATGTAGTTCAATATAATTATTTATAAACAAGAGCTCGCCACGCACCTGAACCTGTCTGAAAATGCCCTGGTTGAACTCGTCCAGATACTTGACGTGCCAGACGAGGAAAGAGCCGTCCACTGGGTGAATGGTGAAAAGCATGTCTGGGCTTTTGTTCCACTCCGTCATCAGAGTCTCCATCTTCCTCTCCAACAGCATGGAGGGCAGGGGCAGGCTGGAGCTGGAGCCCGGGGACGAGGCCTTGGTGCTGCAGTGTTCCCCCGGGTCCATCTCCTCTCCCTGCTCGGACGAGGCTTTGTCCGACATCTCGTCCAGGTCTATTCACAAGTGGAGAGTGTATGAGTTATTAGTCATTTGAAAAAACGGGATAAGAATTGAAAACATGTTTAAATTTGAATCAATTTTAAAAATGTTTGAAAAAAAAAAGCGTTAATGAAATATGTGGAGGAAGGAGAGTGAAGCCCTCAGCACACAGCTCTTGTCTCTATCTGGTCTCTCTCTCGGGTCTCTGATCTCGCTCGCTCTGGTCTCTCGCTCTCTCTCTCTGGTCTCTCTCTCAGGTTTCTCTCTCAGGTTTCTCTCTCTGGTCTTTCTCTGTGCTCTCTCTCTGGTCTCTCTATATGCTATCTTTCTCTGGTCACTCTCTCTGGTTACTCTCTCTGGTCTTTCTCTGTGGTGTCTATCTCTGGCCTCTCTGGTCCTGTCCCCTTAATGGAAACACTGGTATTGCCGGATTTTATAAACTTTTTAATGCAAGGCTTGTCTTTTTGTATCTGTCTCTGTCTCTTGATCTAGTGCGGACCTATAGAATCTAAATAAAGAAATGACAACAATCATACCAAATTCAAATTTCATGGGGGATCCATCTGGGTCGAGTGGGTCGTCGGTGGTCTGTTCAAGTTGTTGCTCAGTAAACTTGCGCAGTTGCAGCATAAAGAGGTCCATAGAAGAGGTGAAGCTTAGGTCCTTATTGTTGAGCCAGTGCACCACAAAGCCCCCGCCCCCAGTGCCATCGTCTGCGTTAAAGGCTGCAGCATCGGCCAAGGACGGAATATCTGGAAAAACACACATTTTGGTTGAATATTAAACTTGAACTCTGTACCACCAACATCCATATATTTTGTGCAGTTGCCAGTAATGACTTAAAAAAATAGTTTGATTTACCAAATGAAATATAACAGTAAAACACAAATAAATAACAATTATTTTGATAATTGATTAATCTACGGACTATTCTTTCAACTTGTTTAGAATTATGTATGTCATTTTGTGTACTTTTTTTTAGTAAGATCAAGCTGAAATGAAGCATTCTAATACATACATTTTATACAATTCCTGATTATTTTGTTTTGTTTGAGACTTGAAATTACATTAGACAATCCGTGATAACAATAATCTCTTCATTGTTACAGCTCTAAGATAAACCATATTTCACAGTAATTAAGCTAATGAATGAAGAGTTCCATAAAAAGCCTTTTCTTTAGACCATCCTACAGCAAAGAAAAAACTCCAAATACCTCAGTAGAGAACCCCACAGAACTACATATCAGCTTTGCTTTCTGACAAAATCTCGTACAAATGAAAGGAAAATAAAATGAGATGTTTTCAGCGGAGCGTACCTGTGCTGGGGTTAATACTGGCAGAGATGTGGAAGTGACAGAGGGCGTTGGCGTGGTGAGCAATGTGCCGGTGAGAGTGTGCGGGTCGTGGGAGCCGAGCTGAGACGGCAGCAGCTCACTGTGGGTGACCAGAGCAGACGACCGCCTCCTGCCTCTGCGGAGGTGCTTCAAGTGGTGGATGGACTGTAAAATACACATTTAGGATCAGTGTCGCCCTGGTTATTGTTGTTGCTGTCATTGGTCTCTCCATAGCCTTGCACCAAAGTAAATCTGTGCGATGCAATGAACCAAGTCGGAATATGGGAGCACAGGGAATTTTAGATTTTTTTAAGCTAAAATCGGTTTTCCTGGTAAATTTAGATAGTCTTATAAAATGTTCGAATCCAGGTTAAAAACTCTTTAGCTGTCCATATTATCTAATGAATGTTTTATTATGATTTTTATGCCTTATATGATTGTTTCATCTAGCACTTTGAGTTGCCTTGTGTATGGGGCAGATGTCCACTAATAAGTGTCAAAATAGAGTCAATTTTGAAGGCTCTCAAAAAAGATGGTAAAATCCCTCCTCAGCCACTGGCTTGTTTTATCCTGATGTCCACTGCCCCCATGTGGATCACCAATACATACCAATACAAAACTGTCCAACCAAGACTAACATGCAATAGAGTAGAATGTATATGAGTGTATTGTACCTCCAAGGCATGTTGTATTTTGTCCTTCCCGCCGAACCCAGGTAAACTAGAGCTGAAGGACTGCGCATTCTCGGATACCTGCCCCCCGAGCAGGCTATCCTCCGGCAGCAGCGTCTCAGACCACAACCGGCACACGCCATCTTCACACGACGTCAGTAGGACATTGCAGACTGAGCCCCGAAATAACAAGAGTTGTACCAATGATTGTTTTATAATATCTCAGTATTGCTGTTTAAATGTGTCTGGTTAAGCGTGGACAAGTGGCCACCCACAGCACTGCAGCTTGAACACACATGAGCTGTATGGGAAATTTTCCCATTAGACCTCAATGTAAACTGAAACGGCTCATAAGTCAGAGTTTTGTGAGGACTTTAGTGTCCCCTTGTCATCCTGAACTTTTTATTATTTTTCAAAATCCATCGGTTTTCTACAAATCCACACTTTAGTGCAACAAACTCGGCTCAAATAGGCATTAGATTAACAACTACTTTTACTTTAATTTGCGTTGTTTCTTACTTGGGCATAAACTTGCTGGTCTTCCTCCAGGACATACCCGTCACCGATCGGGGATGGGCCAAATAAACAAAAGAGAAGTGCACAGGAATGGCTTTTTTATCAGACGGGTCCTGGACCACCACAGCAGAGCGCCACCCAGTGGAGGGGTACCACACTTTGAGTAAACAGTCATCCTAGGAAACAGCATTAGCCTGAGAATTAAAATCACATTAGGCAGAAATGGTTCCATGCTTGTAATGGATCCTGTTGCAGCTGAGCTCCATAAAAGCTTTGATAATGTGTGTTGACTTTGAAGATGCTAATAATCCCATATAAAAGTGTTGTGTTACCGATATAATGCTCATGTTACACAGACAACACGAAGAAAGTGCTTCAGAACATGTAATAAAAGCTATGCCAAGTTCTTTGTTTGTCATCTTATTGACATTTTACCAAAACAAACGTATGTAGATCAGACTGGTACGTAGTTACAGCTGACAATAACTAAGCGTTAATTTTTCCTTTTTAATAAGGACAGAGTGTAAATGCCGTACCCTTCCAACGGTAGCAAAGTATTCCCCATCTGGAGACCACTTGGCAACATGAATAGATGCAGCAGTTCTGAAAAACACAGTAGAACAGTGGACATTATTTTTACATTTATAGACAGTGGACCAAAAGCTCCTATGTGCATGTTAAGTTATTGCAATGTTGTGTTTGATTGGAACTTGTCCTTCTCCATTCTTCTGTGGCGTGTGGGCTTGTGTGCAGTGAGTATGTGTTGTGGTTCTTTGGTTGTTGCTGATGAAGGCGGTTGCACTTCCGTCTCTGTGGTTTCAGTCATTCATGTGTCATCAGGTGACTATTAGTGATACGCTTTTATGTGTGTTTGTTTGGCCATTACAGAGCACACAAGCAAACCTAGGGAACAGAAGCCACCTATTGTTGCTAACAGCCTATTGAAAGAGAAATAACTGGAAAAACTGGGGCATACAGTTCTCAAAGTCTACCATTATGTAGTGAAGTCTTTTTAGTTTAGTACAAACATATAATTTCTAACTATTAAATAATTGTTGAATTCTTAATATCTAATAATAATAATAATGCATTGGTTTTAAATGGGACTTTTTTGGACACTCAAAGACGCTTCACATTATCACCGTCACTATTCTTTCTTTCCTATACACGGTGGTGATAACTACTATTGTAGCCACAGCTGCCCTGGAAAACATTGACAGAAGCGAGGCAATCATTATTTGCCATCGGCCTCCCGACTCCCACCAACCAATCAAGCACACACCAGACTCATTCAATGCAATGTGGGTGAAGTGTCTTGCCTAAGGACAGAACAGCAGTTTGACAAAAGGAACCAAATGTGTGAGCACAATACAAGACTCTAATAGTCTATTGTAAATATGTTGAACTGTGTAATCTGTATTTTTCACATGTAAATGTGATGTATTTTTGTGTCTTAGGGACCAGGTCTGCAAATTAGCTGTTAGCTACAGTACATGGCCTATAGGCATCAGTTACCTGTTGAAAGGGACAGAATGCTTTTTGTTCTGTCCCTTTCAAATAAAACACATAATTAACAAATAACATATAGCAGACGCCCCACTGTGGCACCTGGTGATCCCAGAGGTCTCCCATCACAGTACTAACCCTGCCTTGCTTAGCTTCAGAGGTCTGATGGGATCTGGATTTCAAATGCAGGTGGCATCCAGAGATAGTACAGTGGAGAAAACAAAGACTAATTTTGAGGCATTGGGGGAGCTCAATCCTCTTGCTTTCTGTGAGGCTGAATCAAATGTTCTATACAAATAAACATGTCTTCTTCTTTGTTTATAGCCAATGAAAGAGCTTACTTGCACTGCCACACACAGTTCCAGTCGTTGAGGACCGGGTGTGGCTTGTCGTCAGTGCCCTGTCCGTCCTCCTCCTCGATCAGGGCGTCCGACAGGGGAGGAGCCCACAGCTGCAGGCGCTCTGTAGCTGCCAGAATACGGTTCCCTAAGGGCAGACGCACAACATGTTACACACAAGACAAGCACACACACACACACACTCAGTAAACACACAGTAAACACACAGTAAACACAATGGTGCCTCAGCTTTTTACACTACATGAATAAAGGACTCTACAGAATAAAATAGTATTCCATTATTGGTGGTATGTCATGTTTTTCTTGGTCCTCCAGTTTCACAGAGAAATGGGGAGGCAGAATTTCAGATCTATGCAGCTGGTTGTGAGACAGGCCTCTACCCTGACCATGATCAAAACTAGGTGGAAAAACATCTGTATAGCTGTGCATACAACTGAAGGATTGTATATTGTATTGTTTTAATGTACTGCGATTATGTATGATGCTAATGCTGTGTATGATTCTTTCTGTATGATCTTGTTTTGTTAAGCTCTTTGAGTAAGATCATTAAAATATATTTGTGCAACTATCAAATATGTTGGTGCCATTTGAACCCAGCTGGACTCTGTTGGACCAGAGTCAAGGGTAAACATTGGGAGGCAGCGTTTCAGATTTTGTAGTTCAAATCTAGAACAGTCTCCCTGAATATGTGAGAGACGTCTACTCATGTTTAATGCACTGTTGTTGTTTATTATTTTAATGTTTTTACTTACCTGTGTGATTTTACTTGTATTTTTAACGGTGATTTTGGTGTTTGTTTTTGTGATGATTTATGCCTTGCGTGTTGTGCACCGTGAAGGGCTTTGTGTTGCTCTGTGTAAGAAAGATGCTCTACAAAAAAAAGATTGATTGAAATATAAGTCTATGCCACAAAGATGTTAAATACTTGATTTAGCAATTCACTGATGTTTTGAACGCTGGCGTCTTTAGTCAAAGCTTTAAAAACAACCACATCATGAGGCGTCGCCAGCAGCAGTACACACAAAGACAGCGAAGGTCTCGACAAAGATTCACAAGTAAAACCGATGGATCAAACCCACTGCGGTTGTGGTGCACAGCCGAGCGCAAAATACCAAGTCAAAGTATACATTATATTTTATCATCTATACCCTACGTTATGTATAGGATAAATCAGAAGCAATATGTGACTAATGGCATAAAGGAATAGATTTCCTGATCAAATTATTAACTATTCTTACAGTAATTACAAAAATAATGGACATGATTGTTTTTTTACCATTTTGTATTATGTCTCTGAATAGTTGGAGGAGATTAATATAGATAAAGATTTTTGCTTCATCCAACCCAATTCAATGTAATTTTGTTTTCTACTGTTCTGTGAATCATTGTTGCTATATCTTGTGTGTGTTTGAGATAAATAATCATTAAACATATATTTTTTATGTAAACATTTGATATTTGGCTTAGTATCAAACCAGAAAGCAGAGCAGCTTTAGTCTGTTTTTTGGGTTGCCAGTTTCTTGGTGAAATCCAGCTGGTTTGGTGTCTATACAGTATAACCCTGAGACCCAGATGCATGTTTAACAGGTGAGACACTAGAAACTCAAAAACCTAGAATAGCTAGAGATTGAAATACCTAGAATTCTGGATTATAGGTATTTGTCATAACAATATAAAACAGGTAAGGGCAAAACCTCCAGACTGTTTCTTTAAGATATTACTTTAGTCTTTGAGGTATATTTAGATCTTCTTCACACCCTTCTGTGTGATTAGTGTTTGGAGCTACTTCAGAGCCAGTCGCTGCTTGAGGCACTGATGGTTGCTGCATGTGCATGCATTTGCAAAATATATTGCTGAATTTCAATCTCATCTTGTGCTCCAAAATAAAATCACCATATGAAATTGCCTTAGACTTCTTTGTACTATAACCATTTAGACTGAAAGACACACAAAAGATCCACCCACAAATGTAGGTTACTGTCAATTTTGATAAATAAAGTGACTAACTATATTTTGAGGGCTTAC